ATAAGTTATTAGTAATTCAAGAGTCACAGCAAGCACACGCCGGGGGTTATGACACGTTGTAATATCGCATGTTGAAGACTGGCGTCCGTTCCGTCTATAACTCTAAGAGGATAAACGCGTAAAGGCAAGGACATGGTAACCACCCTATCAGAGAAGCTGTAATCAAGAACTCCCTCAACTCCAACAGGCGGATATTCCTTCTCGTTAAACAGCCTCAAAAGACAGAATCTTGGTGTCGCCCCAAAGGAAAGTCGCAAGCAGATCCACTAGAATCGGAAAGAAAGAGATCATCTGGATCTAGATGGTCGCCCTAGATAATTAGTTGTCCGGATGTCCTCGCACAGCATTGTCCTGCCCATTGGGACCGCGTCGTGGCACTGCAGACATACACCACGTAATGTATCAACGTATATAAGCGACCATGGCTTACTACAACTTCGTTTTCGGTACGAGCACATTATCAGATGTATCATAATATTTACCAGTTGTCCTGGCTAAAAGGCAGCGCGGAGGCCAAGGGGCGTGTAAACTGGGTCTAGACATACATATGCAGCCGCATAGTCACCGAAACACTTCAGTAACAGGCGCATGCGATGACTCTGGAAATACGGATTATCACGTAACTTCGAAGTATGCACACGCCCATAGTGATGACAGCTATGGGCGTGTACTTAGCCATCTATAGGATTACTCTGTCAAGACTATAGACCAATGTCCTAAACTAGAGGGTAAGGCTATAATGAGGCTTAATTTTGGGGCGACATCTACTATAGACTTGGTCCCCCCTCGTATCTCCTCTGCAGTGTTGTCTATGGCTACGTATACTTAGTACAAGTAGCTTTACTCCATGTTTATTCATATTAGGAATACGAATGTGGTCATAGTAGATGGTACCGCTTTACTTAGAGCTGCTTTTGTGTCGTTATTTCGTATATGATCATGTTCACGGATCGCATTTAATCTTAGAGATTAGTATAGTTGCCTTATTGGGGCTATTGTATATACACATCGCTTTATATTTAATTCTCATACAAAGAGCTAAATATTGTAGAATTTAAAAAAATTCCATAGGCATAGTTTCTCTAATGTGTGCGCCTTCGTCTATCATGATATCAACTTAGTTTTTACCATGTTCTAGTAGCTCTAAATTTAATATATCAAAACTTTTGCATTGCCTCTTGAGACTCACTCTTAGAAGCCTAAATATATGAGCTTGGTCGAGAAGTATACTTAGAGCCACGTCTACGTAGTTGTTTTATAGCATTCGTATAGTCAAATCATTCACCCTTCTTATTCGTTGCTTCTTAGCTCAAGACTATGACATTGGACGAATGATGTGTCGCGCTCGAACTACACCAGGCCGGGCATTGGACGTAGGGTCATGTATAATATTAGACATTTTATAACTCGTCCCAAATATTGTTTCAATACTATTATAACCTTATAGAGAGTTACCGCGGTTAGAATTGTCGGCGATTATTCTACATCATCGTCCCCGAAGGATCTCCATGTTTCTAGCCCCAGCATTACATTGAACAACACATGACCTATGTGGCCTAGTAGCAATGTCTATTATCATTCGGCTTTTTATCAGCAGAGTCTAGCGAACTACACGTTTTACCTATCTATTTGTTCTTGCCCGTGGGGATGGCGAATAGGACAACCTTCTTATCACCACTCTCATCATACGCCTTGTCTACGCGATAGTATCCCCTTCGCTCTAGCTGGATAATATCGTCATGCTTAAGCTTGGCTACGCCCTCGTCGCACAACGCGTCCTCCTTCGTCGCCGTCACGGGGTTCAGGAATTGTTCTAGATCGTCCTCTTCCTCGAGCTTGTCCTTCGTGATCAGGTAGTCAAAGTCCCAGAGCTCCGCATCGATAAGCTTCTGCCCCTGCGTCGAGAGCCACGTAACCTTCTTTTCGGTAGTGCGAACATCTCCCTTGAGATGCAGCTCGCATGTGATGCTAGTGATTGGATCACCGCTGGCGACAGCCCTGACAAAAGCATTGCCCCATTGCATCAGAGTTATCTCCTCGCCGTCCTTGAATGACTTGGCATCTTCCTGGTCCAGTATCAGTTCTTTGCTGAAGGCTACCTTCTTAGTTCCGACGGCGGGGTTCTTAGGGTGGAGTGGCCTTTCCTCGGTACGTGGCTCGGCAGGGGTTTCATCTCCCATAATAGCGACCTTGACGTGGTCCTTCTTGAGAATGGCGGTGTGTCGTGGCGCAACAGGGTCAATCTCCTTTTTGTTCGTGGCCCAGAAGCTAGCCCAGTCCATGGACACGACATTCCTGGACGGACCCTGCTTCAGGATGAAATCGCGGAGCGCAGCGATGGTCATACCTCGTCTACGAATACCCCGGATGGTCGGCATTCTTGGGTCGTCCCAACCCCAGACTCGGCCGGTATCAACCAGCTTAGCGAGCTTGCGCTTGGACAAGAAAGTCCGGATGAAATTCATACGAGCAAAGTCCCACATGTACACCTGGCGTAGCTTCAGCGTGTCGAGGAACCATTGGAACTGAGGGTTTCGATCCGTGTACTCGGTGGACCTGAGGGCGTGCGTGACACCCTCCAAGCTGTCGACGACGGGGCATGCGAGATCGTAGGTGGGGTACATCTTCCATTTGGTGCCTGTGCGGTGATGCGGGTCATTGGGATTGCACCTGTAGATGACCGGGTCGCGCATAGCCTTGTTCGGGTTGTCCACTGAGATCTTTGCGCGAATACAATTCTTGAGTCCTTCCTCGGTACCATTCTTCATCGCTTCGAAGATGGCTAGGTTCTCCTCGACTGTCCTGTCTCGTCGCTTAGACGCGATACCTTTTCCTCGCTCGTCGCGCATGGTTTCTACGTCCGTATCATCGGCATAAGCGTTTCCGCTCTTGATGAGAGAGAGACAGGTGTCGTAGAGGTGATCGAAGTAGTCCGAAGTATATGTGACGACATCAGGCTTAATTCCCATAAGAGCAAGATCCTCGATGATAGCATCCTGGTACTCCTCCTTTTCTTTGCTCGGGTTCGTATCGTCTAGTCTCAGGCGAAGCTTGCCATCGTAAGCTTGATGCGCAAAGTAGTCGCTAAGCAACGCGGCTTTGGCGTGTCCGATGTGGAGGTATCCCCTGTATTCCAATTAGAAATTTGCCGAGTCGATATGTGTTGTAAATAGGGAATACGTACGAAGGCTCGGGGAGGAATCGAGTGACGACTCCCTTGTCGGTATCCTGTAGTGCCAAGTTGTAACTCGCGCCAGCTCGACTAGCTGCTTGGACTTTGGCCTTCCGTGCCGAGTCGGCAGCCTTGACTTCGGCTTGGATCTCGGGGTGGACTTGTTCGATATAGGTGAACCATCGGTGAAGATTTGCGTAGGTCCCTTTACGGACGAAAGATACGGCAACACGATTGCTCTTGATAGCAAGCCAGATCTTGGTGTCTAGATCGCTTAGAGCATATCCGGCAAGGTAAGTTCTCAAGGTGAGGTGCTTCTCAAGTCGAATAAGGTGAGGTTCGATAGACTTGAAGTCTCCTCCTAGGGAGGTCGATACGGCAACGAGCTCGTCTGCCTTCATTTTGACGGCTATTGTATGAACTCGAAGCTATTTATGACCTTAAAATTTAGGTGTAAAATCGTAGGTAGCGTATAAGTGAGTCGACTCTGCCGTTTTGAGTCAACAAGCAGACAACAGGTTGTGGCGGGGCCACCCCACTAACGGCATCTCTTAAAAAAGTTGGGTAGAGGGGCTGAGGGGTTATTGACCCGATTAGATAGGTTGCTATCTAGGTAACGATAAGATAATAAACTGTGGCTAGTAATAGTGCGGCACACCTATAAAATGATAGGTACCTATTGAGGCTGAAAACGTTACCCCTGCCCTTGTCTTAAATTTGTTTCTGCATTATCGATTTCTAAAGCTTCATATGACTATGGTCTAACGACTGTCGGCGACCACAGAAGATCACAATGGCTTCGACGAGTCAATGCATCGCTTCGCTGGCGAGGCTAAGCCTCTCTACGTCTGCACGTCCTGCGAATGCGACAATTCCTAGGTTTCTGGCTCCGTCGATAGTTCAGATAAGATGCAAAAGCGCTGGCACTTCGGCTATGCGGGCGCGCGAGCGAGAGAAGGAAAAGGGCAAGAAGTCAAAGAAGCAGCAGCGATTCAAAGAATACAAATATGCCACGCCGAGTAAAGAGGAGAGACATTCGCTATGCGACGCTATGCGGTGAGTTGTCTTGTTCCATTCAAATCTGGATCCTCTGTTCTCGAACTCATGGAAACTATAGATATCTGCGAGCCGCTGAAGTTGGCCGACCGCCATCCTCTGTTACGTACGAACTCGCTCTAAAAATAAGAACACCTAAGAACAGTCCGGTACTTCGAAATCGGATACGTCTGCCCTACCCTGTCAAGAACGACACGCAGATCGCCGTCATCTGCAAAGAAGGCAGCGGTGCTATGCACGACGCTCGTGCCGGAGGAGCTGTCGCATTCGGAGAGGAATCTCTATTTGAGCTGATCAAGGCGAACCCGAATAAGCTACCGTTCAACCGTCTGATCTGCCACGTTGATTCCGAACAGGCCCTCAAAAAGGCCAACCTCGGCCGTATACTAGGTCCTAAGGGTCTGATGCCTAGCATTAAGACCAATACCATCACTAGGAGCGTGAAGTCCCTTATGCACGAGATGGTCGGCGCCGAGAATTACAGAGAGAGGGTGGGCGCGATCCGTATGCCTATCGGCAATATCCAATTCACACCCAACATGCTCTCTGCGAACGTCAAGGCGCTCGTGGGAGCAGTGAAGGAGAACATTTCGACTTTGGAGGACAGAGTCAAGAAGGATTTGGTTGAAGTTGTGCTGACTTCCACAAACGGGCCGGGTTTCAGCTTGAGCGGAGGTTTCAACTCTACCGACGAAAAGGTCCAGCCCGCACACCTGAGCACGGCCATGTAAATATTTATACCCTTTAAGGCAGGACAGTATAAAATTGTACCATATGCTTTGTATAAGTTAGATGTGCGGGTATCTTGCTAGTATGCTCTTAGGAATAATTGTGAAACTGTGTAGTCTTCGCTTAATTAAGCGCTCTTCAATGCTTTTACAGCTTCTAGTTGAGCATCTAATAGAGAATAGATGCCCATCAACTTCAATAGCTTTGCCTGTCCTCTAGCACCCGCCTTTTTAGCTTCCTTCAACGCCGTACCAAGGTCTAATAGGATAGTATTTCTACATCTTGTTAGCCTTTCTTCCGCTTTCCGTACGAAAGGCGTCTCCCTTCCAATGTCGTTGGCTAACTCGTCCACTACTATATACTCGTTCGCTAATTCCGTCAATTTTGCCGTGCTACTCCCCACTGCTCCGTCTAGTTCGTCTTCATCGTCTTCATCGTCGTCGTCGCTATCATCACTATCAGGACCCGCGCTCCCGACTGCCAACCGACCCTCGAGCGTGGATATCCTCTCATCGAGTTCTATCATTTTCCTCCCGGTCTCGACCTCACTTCTCACGCCGGATAGGTCCCGGTTTAAGCCAGCCACTTCGGAGCCCCTTTCTCTTACTCGGCCTTTGATCTCTTCGACAGCTCGCCGAAATCCTAACAGTGCTACACGTACATCCTCGACTCTTTCCTCGCCCCCCTTAAGCTCGTCGCCTAGGCTCAAGAAACTGGTGTAATTCGCATTGACTAGTTCTAGCAGCTCGGTGCTGATAGCGGCGCTCCGTTCCCTAAGGTCGGATCGTAGGTCTTCTAGGGTCTGATGGCGGTTTGCGAGGGAGGAGAGGTATTCGGCTGGGTCGAAGTCCGGAGCGAGGAAGTCGGACCGTGGGAGAGCAGTGGGGAAAGGGAGCGGAGCATCATCTTCATTATCTGAAGACTCGGATGAAGAAACTAAGGCGAAACTGCGGGAGCTCAACGGTCTAGCTGATGACGGTGCTGCGAGATGGGCCATAATATCTCGAGTCTCGGTGGAGGGGTCAAATGAGTGGGCGTCGTTAGGATAAACCAGGTCTTGTATATTGAGACATGCGAGATGTTATATTTCGGTCTAATATTGGTGACGATAAGTTGTTGAGCTTGGCCTGTCCTCCAACATTGATGATATATTCCCTTCTAAGGATATGAAATAGATATACGTTATTTATCAGCCTTAAATCGCGTCTTTCGAATATACCTTATGCAAGTAATCGGAATATCACGAGCATTGATCTTCGAGGTAGGTAGCTTGGATGCTAGTTGATGCGCATGTCACGATTGAGCTAGACCAAAGTACCTTCGTACATGCAGAATTGACATCAAATTGGATTATGTGGGGTAAAGTTAAAAGTTGAGGTTACACTAAACGTCAACTCACCGAGTTCACCTTTGATGGTTTACATAATTAGGTGGAATAGGTGGAACTTACCGAATTCTCCGGTACCGGCCTGGCGGGGCTTACCTTAGCAGTTTCCAGTTAATATGACCTATTGATGGGGCCAAAGGAACCAAAGGAACCAAAGGAACCAAAGGAAACCAAAGCAACTTCGGCCAGAGCAAATTCCCGTCCGGTTACACCCGAACGTCACCAATTTCCTCTCACATCAAATTCAACGTTCAACGTTCCTACTACAGGTAGGTATTTATACTGTACAGTTAATTGATCGTTGATCGTACAGTTGGACCGTAGAGACAAGAGTGGAATAAGAAGAGGCAACTAAATACGATAAGGAAAGGACAAGAACTATATGCAAACATCCCTCCTTTCCGTTGGAACGAGTTCGGAATCCGACAGGTCCGAGCAACTCCAGTGGAAGTGGATCGATGGTCTAATTTTTTTTCCATCTTGCTGCCGAGCCTATCCTATCTTAGCCTTCCATCCCCCATGTGACATTGTTGGCTCGGATTAGGCGAGTGGACTGCGGGTTACAGGGCCCTGGCATAATCTTATCAATCTGATCAGTGATCAATGATCTCGAACCATCAACTACCACAGTCGTCAGTCTCGGCCCCCCCTCCAATAAAGTAAGTGACCTTACCTTAGTTCTTCCTTCTAGGTCAGATCACTCGATAGCGAGAGATCGTCTGCATGACCCCCCAACTTCTTTTTGCAACCCTCCCCACAACCGACTGAAGAACAAAGACAGATGTTGACTCGTAAGAAGGAAACACTCAATACTCAATACTACTTCAATCCCGGCCCAGTCAACGAATTGATTGACTAAGAGCCTGTCAAACGATCATTCCATTTGCCTCATTCGTCTATTCTTTAGTCACACCTATCTCACTCCCACGAGAGGACCTCAGCCGCCAGTTCATTTTTTTTTTCTGGACTAATTGAAATAATTACTTGGCCAAAGCCTTTAAGCACAATCAACTTGGCCCTAGTTCGGAGACCCTGATGGTAGCCCGGCCCGCTCATTCGTGTTCAGTCCCTAGGTACATCACTGCCTGCTACCCCCCAAGTTTGCTTGATTCGTGGGAGGGGGACCCTAACAAACCTCCTAACCGCTTTTCTTCTTTCTTCCCTTAAACCAAGGGATAGCAAAACGTGAAAGATATACATCGATAGAGACCGATCTCTGATATCATTACCTATTTACCAACTCGGATACCGTCAGACCGCATCTTTGCGGAGTCGATCCCACGGAAAATTCCAAGGCTCGACGCACGCTGATGTCCGAGGTGCATTGCAGCGCTGAGTGGCACAACGAATAAGATCGACTAAATGCTTTTCCTGCCTTTCTGCTCCAGAATCGGAATAACATGGCGACTTCTGCTGCTATCATGTCTTCCGCTTATCTCAACGGCCACCCCAAACCCCAACCAACCAAACTCGCTATAACCCCTATCTCAGCTGCATCTTCCCCCGCCTCAGCTGCTTCGCCCATTTCGAGCGTGTCTACGCCTACCTCAACCCATCAGCTTGCCATCAAACCCGCAGCCGCCGCCGCAGCCGCAGCCCTACAGGCCACCGTAATGGCTTCAAAGGCCTCAATCACCAGCAAGGAATGGGTAGTTCCTCCGAGGCCCAAGCCCGGCCGGAAACCCGCTACGGATACGCCACCAACTAAGCGAAAGGCCCAGAACCGCGCTGCCCAGCGTGCATTTCGCGAGCGGAGGGCCGCTCGCGTCGGAGAATTGGAGGAGCAGCTGGAGGAACAGAAGGAAGAGTACGAGCGAAACCAACAGCAGCTCACCGACCAAGTGCAGGATCTAGATGCCGAAGTGTTAAGTCTACGGAACAGATGCGTAGTCCTGGAGGGCTTGCTGGAGAAGGAGCGTAAGGAGCGCATCAAAGTAGCAAGCGAGCTCGAGGACCTACGACGACGATGGAGAGGAGAAGATGCCAGCACGTCTTCAAGACACGGAAGTTTCGCTGCACAGCACGGAAGGCTGCCGAATCCACTGACCATTACATCTCAGCATCCCACGCCACGGGGAAGCCTCGCTAGCAACGCATCAGATCATCGCAATTCGGCAACGGCCTTTTCAATCTCACAAATAATATCCCCTCCTGACTCATCGAGTCCGCCGGGACCCCCCCAAGAGTCATCGACTGATCTTGCTGGATGTGGCAACTGCGAAATCAACGGACCTTGTGCCTGTGCTGAAGAAGCTCTTGCCGACACGGCTGTTGGATGCAACAAGTGTAGTATCGGTTCCAAGTGCGAGTGTCTGGAAGCCATGGTAAAGGACCTCGCTCCGAATTCGGAATCCGAACTCAAGCGGAAAAAATCCTCTCTGTCCGTCATAGCCCCGGAAGAAAAGAGACAGAAGATACCCGAGCCCTATCCTCACGAGGTCGACTTCACCGCCGCATTCGCCAGGAAGAAGGATCCCATTCCGGAACCAATTCTGTACCAAGCCCCCACTCAGCCGACAGTGCCGCCACGAGACTCTTGCGGCTTCTGCGAAGAAGGTACCTATTGCATGTGTGCCGAAGCTGCCGCATCGCAGACGCTCCCCCCGGTATCTCAACAAGTCCAGACACCGCCTCCTTCCGAGAATGATGTAGGTTCTCATCCGATAGAAATCACATCGACCGGCGCCGTCAAATTACCAGGTATCAATTCGTTAAATCGCACTCCAATCCCTACAGCCCGCCCTTCCGGTGGTTGTGGCCCCAAAGGACCAGGTTCCTGCGCCCAGTGCCTAAAGGATCCTAAGTCTGGTCTCTTCTGCCGCAGTCTCGCAGCAAGCTTTTCCCGCAATTCAGGTACGTCTAGCGGAGGGTGCTGCGGCGGATCCGGCGGATCCGGATGCTGCAAATCTACCGAAGCAGGAACATCCACCGATTCCCCGGCTGGCATCAATCTATCATGTGCAGAGACGTACAAGACGCTGTCTAGTCATCGCAATTTCGACAAGGCAGCTGACGAGATCGGAACTTGGTTGCCTAGACTCAAGGCCACTCCCCTACCGGCAAATACGGCGGGAAGGCCACCCATCGAGGTCCAGGTAGCCAGCATTATGGGGGTCTTGAGAGAGTTTGATGTCCGGTTTGGGAGAGAAGCTTGATCTATTTAAACAGATTCACGGCTGCTGGGAGGTCTATCTACGCTGTATGCGTTTAACGAGAGTATATAATGAGACATGGCGTCAACGGACCATTGCATCCTACGGTGTTGATAAGGGGAGGGGATGTGTCGAGTATTTCGGCCATCCATAGGGAGTGGTCATATTGCATTGTCGGTCGGCGGTCACATATCCACGTAATTGATAAAAGGGGGTTAGGTTTCGAATTATCGAGATGGTTTACAGGCAAGGAGCCCCGAGGGCTTCCTAATTCATGTACATTTTAAAATCAAGGCGTCGAGTTCGGAATAGTTCTAAACACTGCTCGTATGGCATTTTCTGCGAGCCTAGTTTGCGATATGCAATTTTTGAATGGCAAGATGTATCTGGGAGGCTTCTCTAGGTATCCTAGGTATCCCATGTAGAATTGCCATAGATCTTGTTTGTTTTCAAGCCAGTAATGATCACTCGTTGCATTGTCTCAACACCAGCCGCCGTCTCCTTCAAAGTGTTATTACCAGATGTTCGGCTCACCCATTTAGGAGCTTTTTAGAAGCAGATCTCCCTAGGTGGAATCCCAGATGTATCGTTGAATACGAAACCTATTATTGGTATGGTGAAATAGACGTTAGACTAAAAGTATTGTATCCATTTCCATTCCTTTACTTTATAATTAACTCCATTGGGGACCACAGCAAGCACTCAACGAGGTATTATAAATGCAAATTCGGTAGATGTAAATATTTTGTTGTATTGGTATAAAGGATAAAGGTCAAATATACTATAACATTAGGCGTCCACCACCTATTTCCCTTGCTCTAGAAGTGTCCCTGCCTCTTCTAGAGATGCAATGTAATGCTGAGCCCATAAGATATCAAATACTATAACCAATCCCAGACACCAAGTGATAGGCAGGGTCTTCTAACCGTAGCCTATCGTACCATGCAAGGCATATTTACCACGATCTATAACTTTGTAGCATATCCTCCGAAGACGGCATACTACCCTGGTAGTATGACGTTTCCCACTATCCCGGCCGAGCGGCTGATGTCCATTGCCGTTTGTCACTAGTGCCAGCAACACTCAAAACGGCTCAGCTTAGTTCGTGCCTGTGCCGTTGGCCTGAGCCTGTCCGTTGTCGCCAAAGCCGCAGCCGGTCTTGCCGGCTTGGGTCTGCGCGCCGAGGCCGGAGCACAAGCCAAAGCTCTGGCCTGACACTCCCGCGCAACACGTCGACGCGCAGTCTGCCGAGCTCAAGCATTCTCCGCCGATGAACTGGGTACCCTGTCCGTTGCCTACGTTCTTAGCACCAGCTGGGTCAGGCTGGAGCGGTGCCGGGATAGCGGCGACAACTTGGGGATTGTTAGTACAATGCTTAGTTAAAGAGGTTTAAGATAATGTGACTTACCGGAGAGAAGAGCGAAGAGGGCGATGCGAACCATTTTGTTTATTGTTTGGTGTTTCGTTTCTTGAAATTAATTATAGCAACTCGAAGCGGTGTTTGTAAAGCGAAGATGGGATGATAGCCTATAGGTAGGGATGAATGTTAAGCTTTGCCTGAAAGTCTGTTCTTATCACATCAACTGGAGATCCCGAAGCGATCATTCAAATGTTTATATATTCAGACGAGCCTCCTATTCTATCCCTTCTCGAACGTTTCCCATTACTACCCCTGACGCCGGGTTGAGCACGGCCGTGAGGCTGAGTGCGGGTGCGTGTGTTTCTGTTACGCCTGGGGCATCAGCTCTGGGACCCCTTGTTTTGATACGTCGCACATCATCATTAGGCCGAACGAATGTTTATTCGCGAGGCAGATTACGAGGCGACCCCGGATTTTCCGGGTAGTTCATGCTCTGCAGCGTTTAATCGATCATATGTTCGATAGCATATGGAATGTCAACGCGTCTGAAATGCCTGTTGTACGCGTTTAACACCACCATGCGTTGCTTAGCGCTGTGAAGACTACATGGGTATTTGGAGAAGCCATACAGATAGCATCGAGTATTTTGTATCAGTCAATGTCCTTTTACGTATGGTTTTGATAAAGCTATGTTGGTGTTCCTTACATTCGTCAGGTTACCATCGCATCGTGTTTCGCTGACGTTAACTACCTAATGAAACCTCCAGGCGAAGAGATTAGCATATCTCAGATATACCATGATATATCTTAAGGATCTTGATCTTCAAGCTAGAAACACCAAAGAAATAATCTAGGATCCAGATGTGAGGTTTCCTAGTCAGCGATCATAATACACCTTGCTAGGGGGATTTGCGATGTTAGATTCCGGTCAATTTTCCTTGCAAGTTGTCATATGTGGATTATAAGATGGTAGCTGCGTAGTAAAAATTCCGAGTTCAGATGAAGACTCCAGTTGTTGCAACGTTAACACTTACACAGCGTGGCGACATTTTGTAACTCAGGTTTCGAGAATTGTAAAACTCAATGCAAGCGATGATGGGATCATCGTCGAGATCAACATAAAAGCGCCCTTTATTGCCGATCATATAACACTGCTATTACGTACGTAATATAAAGCATTGAATAATTCATAATGGGAAACTAGAAACTTTGCTTGTCTGGGGATTGTGACACTTGGATCGAGTTCTGAAACCATTACGTTCTTAGATGGTCCTGGTCAAATGGACCAATCATGTCTCTCCAACTGCCCCTATTTGAACCTTGTCGATTTAATGGCTGATGACTAATCACCCCTATTGTCTAAGGCATAGAATAGAGAGATGGAATGTATATACCATGTATTCAACAAGCTGGTCAAGTTAGGACTGATTGTATATTTATATTCTTTTTGTAACTCCAGAACCAAAGGCCTACTTGATAGCCATATCTCACAGAAGAAAGCACAAGCATGCACAGGTACTTCAGACTCAACACCCCTTTTTAGAATAATACATGGTCGGATCAAAGAACATCGTGGTGTATTTTGGTTAGTGTCTGTCTGTATTGATATATGTCACCTTTGTGTTATTTTATATGTTAGGTACCTAGGTGGGCTTCCTTAACTACCTATGAATGAGGAGTGAATTTGTAGAACAGTGCTCTGTCAGGTGGAATCACCATGTCGTATCCTAGGATCAATCAAATGCGCTGTGGCATGTACCGAAGTATTATTCAAGCCTTACGGCAAGTAGGTACATACCTCATACATAGCCCGAGTCGAGGGAAGGTACGATACCAATATCGTGATTCTACTTGTCGAGTCACTTTGTAGATACCTTAGGTACGGAACACCGCAGAATAGAATCAGTACCTGAGCCGCAAACAACGAAAATCAGCCAATCGACGGGCCGAAAAATATTAAATCACTAATTCGTTCTTTCCAATCGACGAATTTTAGGGACGCGGTTACTTAGGATACGTCAGGATCAGACATCAACTTGAAATCAGTACAGCGCACATCTCGACACCGCCAAATATAAATACACGCTGATGCCGACACGGTTTTCTCCCATCATCATAACCATCATAACCATTTTAAACATTTCAACCATGTTAACCACCCTTACTACGACCATAACACTTAACACTACAATTATCATCAACCCTTACCTATTAACTAACAATACTTTAATACTTACTGCAACTATTAATTACTATGCCAAAGTAATAACTAAAATCGGTATCACCTAGCAGCTGTTATCCAAAACACGGCTTCTAAGTCATGGGGGCTTAAGCCTAAGCTAGAGCTAAGAAACGGTCCTCCGTTTCCAAGTCGCAGGAGACTGGCAAGCAAACTTATGGGAAAGACAACATAATGCCTTAACCTTACCAACAAAGAACCCTTTGAAGACTACTCAAGGGCTGGAAGTCGATCACCACCAACAACAAGTGACAGCCAACTAGCAATCACGAAAGAAGTATAAGAACAAACTACCTAGCCTACATTATACACCAGTATAAACACAAGTATGGGTGATAAACTTGACCCTAAGGGCCTCGGGACAACGCCAGGGAATGGCCTAATCCCTCATCCCTGAACATCTGACACTTGGGTAAGTTCTTACAAACTTATTTCCTAAAACTATCATCCTCCCATCCCGTTAGCCTCAATACTAACTTCATACTCTTTGCAGAGAAGGAGAAAGATAGTAAAGACGAAATAGATGAGGCTGGAGTTAAAGGCCGGGATGATAATGGAGAAGACGACGAAGACGCCCCCATACCTGCTTGCGATATGAATTTTTCATGGAAGATGTAGCCGAGAGGCTTTTCTAGATATGCCACAGATTTCATTCGGTTTCAAGCCTGTATTCGGCAAGAAGGAATAGAACAACTCTGGCCTCCTGGTACGTGTTACTACATCAAATATCGTGAAAACATTCTAACTTCCTTATAGTGTGTCCATATCAATGCTACTAATTTTACCTCCACCTCCACCTCTGACTAAAAACCCACGAGCCTTTCACCTTCTTCCCGCCGGTGTAACATTCATATCCACCAAATACTATAGATAGTCTACATGCCCACTGGGCGTAAAAAAATTCATCATAATCATCATCGCCACTAAACGCTATTATGGCGCGTGTGGGAAACCCTCAATATCTCAGCTAGTTTGATAGATCGCCAGCTGTAAAACAGAATTGAACCTTCTACTTGTTGATCTGTACCTCTGCCCTTACTTAGGGGCCCTTAGTCCCTCTCAAAATGACATGTTTATGAAAATAGCCACCGTAATTTCTCATAAAACATGCTAATGAAGTTAATGTGTTATAAATGATTTACAGTATATGGATATCAAAGAGGCTTCTGTAACCCCACGATGCTAAGGTAATACACGGGAAGTTCGAGCAGCTGGACTCTATAGTTGGAATTATGTTCAAGTATTTATTCAAAGCAAGTATAGCCGTGTCTCGCTCCGAGGTTTGCATCTTCTATGACCTAGTTACACTTACATTTCTAACGCTCGACGGACACTCACACTCCTTTACACATTGTCCCGATTGGACAATACCAAACAATGCATAGCTACTCATCGTCATGAAAGGTAAATACTATTAGTAGGAGGCGATGACCTCAATTAGAACTAAAATGAGCCGATCGCAACGCCTTTTAATTTGTTACAAAAACATAGAATGGAGTAAAAGAGTACTGAAAGGGCTATGCCAAGGGTTAGTAACATATAAACACGCGTGACGTTATTCTACTTAGAGTCCAAAGACAATTAGACAATAGGGCATTATATGCTGTAAGGGCAGCTAAACAAAAAAATTGTTAGCGGATTTATCACTTAACCTCTTTATCATGGAGCCCATTTAAGAACAAGAACATGCGCGACTTGGAAGCCTTTAGAGATAATACGAGTTATTATATAAAGCTCTCAAATCGCAATCATCTTGTATTTCTTCGCTTCCTAGCCACCCCGAGCATGATCTAGAGCTATACCGCTTACACTTACCCTTCATAGCCAACATAAACACCGTATCTCTACGAGCAGGTCTTAGGTATAATCCTTTGCGTACTACGATCGGACAAGATGCCGACCTTCGTAACGCATGAGATGTATACCTGCTCGCATATCGTAGAGACGGTCCATCGAGGTTTCGGCATCGATAGCAGCTTTAGGCTCGAATGGATCCCGGTCCAGTCAAGTTGCCCATTGTGCTTCTGCAAGTCGCTCCTCGACAACTCTTACGAGCTCGAATTGAACGACGACGACGATGAAGATCGCCGCCGTATTCTAAAGAATCTGCTGCAGCCGTACAAGCGACAGCTCACTAAGCACCTACAGGTGTTGGTGGAGAACAAGCGGTGTGCAATGTCCGGAATCCGGGGCAGATATTCGGGTTTAAAGCAGATACGAATGTTGGAGAAGTTGAGCCGTATGGTCTTAACGCCCACAAGCCTAGGTGAGTTCCAGGCTACGCTTCAAGCTCTTATTAACTTCCAGGAGGGTGAGCCTCGCTACCCTACGTACGTCCAGGTGCTAGGAAACGCTATGACTATAAAGGTTTTATAGTCGTGGGCAAGGCCCTTTGTAGTTGGGAAGAGGGAAGCTAGGTCAAATACAGTATGACTCGTCGTTATTAGTCTTATAACCTATACGCTATCTATCATGCATTCTTACGTTCTATATATATATAATAAAGGGGTTCTTACTATGTGGAATACATTAATCGTATTGTTTGTCTAATTTAGATTCGTGAATCGGAATGCTCATGAAGCCTTCTTTGTAGGGCATCGGCACCGTGCTAAGAAAATTGCTCTTGTGTATACTTCTTCCAACTAGCCAGACTTGTTCCTCAAGCTGGCCATCCAGGTTTCAAACCCAACCCGAGTGAAGCCAATCCATAATGCTAGTAGCGATCAAATCTCATACTACTAAGGGTATATAATTAAATACATTCGCCATGCTCATTGCAATATTAAATAAAGATCAAGAACTCGAAAGTGTTGTGCTCAAGTCTCGCCGTGGTAAAGCATATGCTTGCATATGTCGAGCCGACCGCATGCTTCTTTGAGTAGTTCAGAAGGTGACTCGGATGTAAGAGTACCTATAGTGTCGAGCAAATTTGACAATCCATCTTGAAGATTTGCCTGAAGGTTCGTCGTCGAAGTATCGAGTTCCGAGAGTTTAGTCACTTTACAGAGGTAGTCAAAAGCCCCTGTTGTATTACGCTGCAACTGCTGTGGGAATGGTCGTAGGGTATTGGATTGATCTCTCGATTGAGTAAGTGCTCGTACGAAAGACCATATGCTCAAAGTAGCATAATACATGATCCACGGTCGATGGGGATCGGGATCTCGCCGACACGAGTATTGTATCCCATAAGTATCGATAGGAGTATTCGCATAGCCATTGTTCCTCTTCTGGCGGGGATCCACCAGAATACGATGAAGAAGCTTAAAGGCATGGAGTATTGCGTGACGGGTAGTCATTTGATTTGACCACAGCGACATTCGCGCCACGACATTAGTGTAATCCCGAGTAGAAATTTTGCGGCCGAGTAGCCGCTTAGCCCCAGTGTAGACTTGGCAGTCAACAATGTCGATGTACAGGCTAATATGAGCAAGATGGTATAGAACAGACGCACTCTGAATGAGTCCGTTAGAGTGAGCTTGCGGTCCAGGGCCATCCGACTCAGAGTCACTTGAGCCGATAGCCTGGTCGAAACTGGTTTTCCAATCGTCAAATGCTTTCAGGAGCATATTACACCACTTATCCCTCGTGTCCGAAGAACTGGCTCCTAGCTCAAGCCATTTTAGATGCGTGTCGCGATGTCTGAGGTGCCAGCCGACACTTAGAAGCCCACACATGATAATCATGCGGCCAAACGCGTGGGTTCGGACTTCCTTCCCGTGGATGGCACATTTCAACCCGTCTAAAAATGAGACGGGCTTGACACCATATAATCTAAAATTCGAATCGTGATGACGAACTATCTCGGGACTCGACGCCGACCATAAAGACTCGTCGCAAGGTAAGGGTAGGCGTATTTCGTGAGGGGCCATATCGGCCGCATGCCCAAACATCGCAGCGTGAACGATATCCATCATAAATGCGGCAAATACTACTCTATGCATCGATTCCGTCCTGGCCCATTTTACCCACCACGTCCTCGCATCTGATGTCGCAGGATGCTCCGTTCCGTTCTGCTCGTCGGATGGCGAGTCAGCTCCAGCCCCTCCAATCAGGGGACTACCTCGCCTAAGCAGCGTCAAGGTTACTGAGTGGTAGACGTGCGCTCTCTCGTGAAGGATCCTAGATGAGTACATCTTCTCGTAAAATTCCACTAAGAGTAAGGCCTGGGCGACCCAGAGTTCGACCGGCGGAGACGCTTCGTCGGCGGTCAAGATTTCGAAACGAACGTTAGAGATAATGAGGTCGGCCAATGCTTTATATTCTGGTATTTCCCGACTAGATTCGCGGCTGTAAATCTGAGCGGCACCCAAGGCAATCATTACCAGGAGAAGGAGGATGGAGCATTGTGCTGAAGAGAACGTTGGCTGATGAACGATAGGGAGTCTCGGTGATACAAAGTCCCAATAATGCCGCATGCAATCTCGTAGAAATTCTAAGCTTAGGCCTGGTATGTCGTCACTAGTTTCGTGCATCAAGTTAGCTAACTTAGAGTCGAACCTGTTCTGTTTCTGATGAAATAGTTTAACATAGCGTAAGACATCCACACGGCGATACTCGGAAATAAGCTCGTCGGGCATGTCGGGATGTCGTGGGGGTGTAAGATCAAGTTGGGACCGACTAGTGAGTGATTCGTGATCGTAATGGATATTATTATTGAATGGTGACTCCAGCCCGCCTTCGAGAAATGGTATGCTGGCGAAACTAAAGTCTCGATACGTCTGTTGAGGGTCAAACAACCAGACACCAAAATTTTCACGAATCTCTAGCTCGTTCGCATTAGTCGGTACCGGCACGTTGTGATAAGGAACGAATGTGGAATGGTCATGCATGGGGGGTGGTTGTTCACGACCATAGAAGCCAGCCTTCTGACGAATGATGTTGACGCCATCCATCGGAGACGTCCACGGGACGCTATGCGCTAGCGAACTTGGTTGCGTAGGCGCCATAGGAGGCGGTAAAGGCGGATGTTGAGCTTGAACTGGAGAGTCAGAAGTCAAGAGCACAGCTGCGTTCCGTGGAGCACTCGCGGGCTGCTGTGGAAATGTCGCCGACCGCGGCGGGCCTACAGCATTCGTAGCGATGCTAGGAGAAGGCATCATAGGCATCTCCTGGGGAGAGTCCTTGGTGGGCATACTAAAGCTGCTGGTACGGTTCCTCGGAATATACGAGGCCGAATGGCGCTTCTTATGGCGCGCCAGCAGATCTGGCCTCACAAAAGTTTGCGTGCAGTCGGGGACATCGCACGTATAGATGGTCTTGGGAGCATCTTGGATTCGCGTTAGCATTGTAATATCACCATCGACGTAGATCCAGAACTAAGAATAGATGATCTGCGGTCTTAGGATCTCTAGTCTTGGTCTTGGGATCTCTCTTAGCCTTACGATTCAATTGATGCCTCTGAAGATGCTCAGCTCTCGAATACATCTTGTCGCACCCGGGCCAGTCGCACGAAAATCTCCGGGGAGCTCCCTTCCGGCTCGCTCGTTTGTATGAACCCCCGCCGCCACCAGCAGCAGCATTCCCTCCTCCTCCTCCGTCTCTTGGTGATTGCTGCTGGGACTGCTGGGACGCCATTTAACCGCGACATCGCTCGTCCATAATATCGATAATATCGCAATATCGTAATATCAGAGACGTATGACTTGCATATGCGCCGAACCGTTCCGCGGGGAATCTCGAGATGGGGGAGGACGCAGGGAGGACGCAGGCAAGACTAATAGACTAAAAAAAAACAAGCCGGGGAGCGGAGTGGATGGGGGTCCAGCCTGGTTTTCTACAGCTTTTCTACAGGAACACGATTGCGCGACATTTCCCTCCCACTTTCTCGGGACGGCTGGCTGAGATGGGAATATTCGCCAAGAAATCCGACGCGGGGGCTGCCCCCTGCCCCGAGAGCCGTGGGGGGCCTCTCCAACTCCTAATTATCCGGGGTAGAATCCCTCCCGTTGTGTCCTAGCGTCGTGTAAGCCGTGGGGGGTTTTTTTTTTGAGCGTACCGACCAGTCGGCCCATACAAGCGAGCGATACTATTATGACAGCTTCATAGTTGAGCGATTGGATACAAAATACTTTAACTTGTGATTTAATATTCCAGATAATCAACTCTTCTATATTTTATTAGTACTGCCACAATTTTTCCAGCCAATCAGATCCTTAGAATCGCCCCGCAGTTGGCGACTTTTCCTTTTGCCATTCTATCGCATAAGGTCTAATACACATGCAAATAAGATAGAAAAGTCATGCAAAACGCGCTCTATCTAACGATACCAATTATTAAAAATTTTATATAATAGTATAGTAGGTCAATTGATTCTACAAAAAATTCATCGGACGTGCGCTGAGGTGTGGCTAGCCAATCAGAGGCCAGACTTATATGTGGCGTAAAAGGCACTCTTGAAGCTAGGTACTCCCCGTAAGCGTTTGCGCGAACGGGTAACGCAGCTAGTAGAAAGGTAATACCTGGAGTTAACAAGAACAACTCACTACTAAGGGCTTGCTGTGATTGATATGTAATATCTTTTACATTACCATTGAGGAATAATTCGTAGACTAATTTTCTAATATTACCAATAGAGAATCCGGAGCCGACCTTTAGCTAGTTCTACCATTATCACAAAGACTATAATTAGAGTAAAGGTGGTGATGTTTTGCCCGAGGATAAAGAAATTGTGTACCTGTCTCGAAGGCACCCAACTAACCTACTTGGTAGTCAATCCCCTTTCGGCTCTGGGGGGGGGGGGTAACTTGCAGCTTTGATGTCATCTACTAAGAAACTCCTTGCCTAGCCTAATTTCTCAAAAGTCAATACCTAACTAGTTAATATAGTAAGGTTATCCCTTAATAAGCAACTCTTATGGCAACTCGACTCGATAAGCAAAGATACGGTAACACGGGCTACTATCTAGGTTTAGGACTATTTTGTATGTTAGGCTTCCACCGTTCTTCTACCTCGACGGTCTTGTGACTCATTTGTCGTTCTACCTCTGGCTTCCCTAAGAATCAGCGCCATAGACTGAAAGCGCCTTTCAACGATCGCGTCACAAAGAATACAAGGCTTTGTACTCTTTTGACTATTAACGCGACCCATTTCATAAGGCCGCTTGCTCAATTCGTGTGTCTTTTTCACCAAATTTATTCGATGCTAGTCACACATCTATTCCAACGCCTCCTAAATACTATACCGGAGTTAAACCAGATTTGAATACGCCTACGCACTGTATCAAACAAAATATCTACTATGGTCAGCTTGGTGATAATAATGACCTGGTTATGTGGTATTTTTGCCTTATTAATTGGCCTGGCCGTATACCATTTCAACCGGGCAAGAACGCTATTCGGAATTCGAATTGTTTCGACTCGGACTTCCAGCGATAATGTGCCAGAAACTAGGCATAAATATGTAGACGACAACGAGAAACTAGCAAGTCTTCTGAGAGAGTCTAATAAGCATGTTACAGTCTTCATTTCTATTGACGTTCACGCTTGGGAACTGGATCGTACAAAAATCACTGACATCGGGATGTCAGCGTGGTATTCTGGTGGGAACGATGACAATGTTGTGCTGAGTCGTCATTGGCAAATCGAGGAGAACAAATTGCTCAAGGACCGATACATGCTAAATGACCCTGATATCTTCACATTTGGAAAGACTGAGTTGATTTCCGAATCGCAAATCGCACAAAAAATAGATTATATATTCGAGTCTCTAGGGGCTGGTTGTCAAAGAACAGTCATTGTTGGGCATGGTATTCGCTCCACCTTAGACCTCCTTGAAAAATTTTGGGAACCGCCAGGATCAGAGGTAATCATTCTCGACACACAAATTATATGGCAACTTCAAAACCACCAATCCAATAAGGTTACACTCGAAACAGCGCTGATATCGGCATCAGACTTATCATATAACGTACATTTTCTCCACAATACCGGAAATAACGCACGCTTCATACTGAATTTACTCCAAGAGCAAGGCGCCATGTCAAAACGATTTTAGTTAAGGGTTTAATAGGATGGGGTGACTATTGAGGAAGATACGAACATAGTAGTCCCGAGTTTGATCTAAATAGTTCGTATAGTAAAGTACCTTGGTTATTTGGTCTTAACTGATGGTGATAGGAACAAATAGAAGATTGGGTACCTTATCTCAGGTTCTGCCAATACTCGGAGAGAAGTCTATGTTACTAGGTGACCACATTAAGCTGTTCACAATTGAACTAAGCCATTTAAGCAGTCAAGCATAGAAAATATAGAATATACCTAGTAGTCTACCCCTTAGTAAGTAAACGTTGGGACCTGGGACTTTCTCGGAAAATGATATCAACGATTAGCTCTTGTTGCCCAAACAGGTCTTCTAGTGGCTTATCTTCAACATTGACAATAGGGTCCTCTTCTGTTCGTACGTATCCGTCTAAAGATCTCTCGTATTGCTCCCGCAATTTCCTATGAAGTGAGTGCATGCTGGCGACGCTATTACAATCTTGAGCAGACCGGAATTGAGCATCCCCCCCGAAAAGACAACTCCAGTCACCATCAGAGCTTATATGAGTGCTGGTTTTAAGCTTTGGGTTATACAGATTGGTGTATAACCACTCCTGGGGGAATCCTTGTTCGTTCCAGTAGACTGAGAAGATCACGGAAAAGTTGCCAGAGGATATGAACTGATGCGAGACGCTAGAAGTACCTCTGCACTTTAACTGAGTTATAGAAATGTTATCCAGGGGATAGACTTCCCGTATGATTTGTTTTTGAGATGTCATAGCCCCTGACGCAACCGAAACAAGTGATCCAGAAGACAAATTGGAAGGATACTGCCGTAGAAATTTATCGATATCCTCAAGAGGCTGAGTGACGCCAGCCTGAGACGAATCTAAACTTAGGAACAAATCTGTAGGCGTCGGGTGTTCCATAACTTGATATAATTGTTGTAGAAAGATTTTGGATGACGGATAATGTGCTCTAAAGAAGGTGTTGTATCTTGAATGACGTAGAGGAATCCATATTCGAAAATGTCTCTCCAATTTGATTCCGTCGGGCAGTCTGGAGTGATGAGCCTCCCTACACAACACCTTTTCGCAATTCAATCCCACTAAAACCATTCCTTTCACTCGCATTTTGATAAGTGTAAGGTTCATGGATATGCCTAGATTGGTGATAGAATAGGGATTTCGATCATACTTATGGTTCTGGACTATTGAGCCACAGAAACGAAACTCAGCAGGAGACGGTGCTAAAGCACTTAATGGAGGGCGGGTATCGGAATGCCACCAATCCCATGCAAGAATGCTATGGTCATTTGAGACTTCCACTATTTCTCGCTGTAGCCTAGAGAATGCATTCTGCCCCTCGCCATAGAGCAGTGGCATATTGATGTTAAAGATTCCAAGTAGACAATAAGCAATATCTTCTTGGCGAGATGTCTGTCGGTTAGCAGCCCAAGACATACGTTGAGCAATAGAGTAATCATAGATTGTTGAACGATCTCTCAAAGCGCCGATATGGATTCTTGTGATATCCGAAACTACACCTGCCAATTCGCTCCTATCCCCAAGTACCGTCCAGTGACGATCAAAGAACAGAACCTTGCTCGGCGCAAGTAACTCCTGCAACGTCCAGCCTCTAGTAAACCAACGGCTCTTCGTAAACGTATCCGTCTCCGCCTGGACATCATAGAGGTACGTGTAGCACACAGTTGAGTCGCGGTACCAAGTGAACATACTGTTAATAGCCTCGCTAAGTTCAGCAGAGCTGCTCTTGTCGATGCAGTTGGTGTCACACCAGAGATATTGCAAATCGTCGGCACGCGCGCGACAGCATGCTCCCATGATCTTGGCATAACCTTCTTTCTGCTTGACGGCGTCATCGACGGCGGCGCACTCCCACTCCTGGAACGTCACCTCCGTGTCACCCTTCCATGTGTGTGATAGGATGGCATACGGTGGCGCCTTCTCACTGAAAAACTCTTTGAGTTCAAAGGTGTTGACGTCGATTAAGCGCATGGTGAGAGCCTGAAATATTAAGGTGATGATGATGTGGTGAGGATGCTATGGATAGTACTCTTGATTCGGGATAGGTGGTAGTGCTAGAGTAGAAGACACTCTGGTCCTAGGAAATGCTGTAGAGTGAGGGAAGACACAGTATATAGGAAATTACTTTGTGAAGCCGTGATGATCAATGTCATTCATTACTTACCTGGATGTTCAGCTCCTACAAAGCGAGTGAAAAAAATGACAAGTGGGAGGTTACAAGTCGTAGTAGACCGTCAACTCTCACCAAGGAGCATAAGGGATCATGTCTCGGAATAATCCTAAGCTCTTGATAGACTAGAAAGGGTGTTCGAAAACGATCCGAACGGACTCTAGGACACCGCTTTGGAAACATATGTGTAAAATGATGTAATTAAAACGGGTATACGGACGATATGATTTGGAAAGTCGTTTAATATTCATGCCCGACGTCGCCACTGACTAGTTGTGACTTATCAACTCTACCTGAAACTTTTCTCTAGACCTGTCGAAAAGTAACATCTTCGTTAAACATTATAGGTCAACATGGGCCTCTCATACAGCATCCGGTAGCCGCACAGCGATGTCCCCTGACTGAGTAATATATCTAACCCAGGGCAACGACGGGTATTGCAGCTAGAGATGAGGTTAATACGTGTGTGGCTGGGTTAGAAAAGGGGTAATATACCTTAGGCTCTGTGATCTTCAAGTAGCGCACTTGAATACCGCTAGTTGTGAAATAGGGGATTTCAAACTTGACCTGAATGGGCCTCTTGGCGCCTTTGCCTGCATTGACGCCGCCCATGCTTCCGCCAAAACCACCTGTCATTCCTCCTCCGTGCTCGTCGTCACCTCTCACGCTAGGTAGTCCAAGCTCAGCTCGCATGAGGAACTCCTTGCCACCGCCAAACTGCTTAATCTTCCATACGATGGCACTCTGCTCGGGGGCGTAGTGAACACTGCCGATATTTGTTCGGAACCGAGGAGAGTCAGCATCGTCAGGCACTGGGACAATGATCTCAACGTTGTTTGCTGTACTCCTCCTTTTAAATTGCGCCTTTGCTTTTAGCATATACTCGATTCGGGATCCTGAGTGACTCTCAACCACACATTCGACCCAGATCAGAGGCTTGACTTGGGTGTTTAATCGATAGCTCATCAGCTCAAACTCGCCGTCTGGAGGGATGAAAGAGATAGTCCGGTCGTTCTCGAAGCGTGATAACCGAACACACTGGTGAAACTTGACATCCTCCATCTCGATAGCCTTGCCTCGCGTTGTCCTTCCAGTCGTTTCAAACATGACCTTGTCGTTTAAACCCAGTCGCAGTTCTGGCATTCCGGAGAGATAGCACTTCATCTTAATCGCACCGAGAATCTCCGACCTTAACACGTTTCCGTTCGCTGATACTAGTAGGTTCAAGCTTTCGACCACGTCCAAAAACACTTCGTTCTTCCTATATCTTATGCCTTCGGACCGCCACGACACGGCATTAGTGACGGCAATAGGTGGCCGAGCTTGCACTTCTAGCTTATGCGATTCCTGGGTGATGTACTCCTGGAGAATCTTGGACTCTGTCGTTTGAGGGTAACCGAAGTCCATCATCTCGTCTAATAACTCGTATATAATGACAAAGTTGTCGCGGATGGACTCTTCTTCTAACGCTTTAAAATACTCGGTGAAGACTTCGACAACTTTATGTAGGAAGAGTAGGATCTCGGCGGCATTCGTGTTTCGCTTTGTTAGGGCAAGGAGGTAAAGGTTGTTATGTCGGATATATAAGTACTGCTAGCGATCAGTATTAAAGAAAGGAAGGTAGTTTCCGAGATACACACGTTGATGCCTTCGTGGGAGAAACATGGTGGTACGGCGGAGGACTCTTCTTCGGCTTCGCTAAGGAGTATAGGGAACTTCTCGACAGCTGACATGGGAATATCACCTCGATAGTTTCGGGCAAGTAGGGTCTATAGACGACGTGTCAGCAAGCATACAGCACCAGAGATCTAGAGTTGTAACAGTCGCACCTTGCCCTTCAGATCGAGAAAGAATAAAGCTGATGCCATGATGTCGGTCTGGAGCTTGATTCAGGGGCGCGAATAGGAAGGGTGTCAATTGGCACTTAGGCCAGACAGCGAGCCTCAGAGATGCTCAGTCATTCAACGAATAAATTACGCGTAGTTCCTAATGCGCATATGAAGTCATAAAGTATTTCGTAGATAAAGTAGAGAAGCTCTTCGCCAAGTGAAAGATAACTATTTCGGTAGATCGCATGCCACACAATTCGTAGGACAGCTTTCGAGACCCCACGTTGCTTCAAGTTGCCGAAGTTCCAAGCCAAAGACCGGGTCTCATCCCTTATCAAGCCACATACACTAGCCTCACCTTGAAAGCCTGAAGCCTTCCATAAGCACGGACGCACCAAGCAGGTTCCATTACCTAAAATTATGGGCTTATTATAAAGTCATGTGACAAAGCGGAGCCTGCTCGAGACCCACCAAAATTTTCTTTCACGATAACTTTCCAAACAAATTTTTTTTTCTTGTCTTCTCTCTTCCTTTCTTCTTCAACGCGTCCATTAGACAGTGCAGCTCATTATTTACTACACAATTAGTTCCGGCATTCTGTTGGTTTCTTACCGTGTCGTCGTTGGTGTAGCATGCGATTTCGAGACGCGGAGAAGGATTCAATTCGATATGGTACCATAAGAGCTGCCCGAGTATTATTTGCCGTATTGGTAACATACTGTTGCTTGGGCGGCGTCAGAGGGACCGAACATACTATTCTTGATTTATACTATTCCTGATTTTTATTTGCCTATTTCAGTTGTGGGAGTCCGTAGTATTACACGCGCGGCTAGACTATGGTAGATGCCTCAGATTCGGTTGTCATCCGTCTGACATTCGTATGAGGCACAGTTTGCAGCCGAGGTCTAGCATCGGCGAGTGAGACATTTAGCAGAATGTTTCATGGTTATTATGCTTAATTGTGAGCGCTGATGATTAATGAGTATGAATACAGGAGGATGATATGGGTCTAGGTCTTGATTCTAGTTCTGTGACGTTCGCGTTGTGAATATTCGACTCGAAGTTGTCAATCGTTCAGTCAATTTCGCTACAAGTTTCATTCAATTTTATCATGTCTGTGTCTGCTACGCCTTTAGCTCATACGCTATGCCGTCTAAAGTTTCAGCTCTAGAAGCGCTGGGATTTGAGTTGAACCCAACTTAATCCCACTTAGTCGGCAACTAATATCGTCAGTTCGCTCACGCGGTCTGCCGAGGATGCTTCAGTGACGTTGGGATCTACGGCAGCCCCAAGTGGAACTCGTGACTATCTAACAAAGCATATCCCTTGCTAACGGCTACGGGCTACGGCTACGGACCACGGACCACAGCCAAGGCCACTCAGAGCGAACTGGAAGAATGTGTCGGATGAATCTTACGAAAACACATGTTAGGAAAAGATGCGTAAGTGGCTATGTAGATAGAAAAGAAGTTGAAAGGATCTCAGATGAGATATCATTTGCTCGTTCGATGCCGGTCTTCCCACAGGGCGTCGTGTCTCAGACCCTAAGGGGAGCGAGCAATTATCATATGCTTTTGTCTCTCTTTTTCCCTTTCACAGTGCCAACAGTGGCGGATCAGCCTCTACTCCTAGTGGCCAAGAGGATATTAGTTGCATGTGATCACTTGGACACAATTAAACCATACAACTTAGGCTGGTTGACACGTGCTTGTATATACCTTCTCGAGCGTCTGTAAGCTCCGATGATCTATTGCTGTCCGGTTTCATTATTACAGCATATGATTGCGTCGAGAATTCGTTCGATTCTTTTAGTTGTTTGGGTCTCTTCAGGCCATCGTGTTGCAACTGCGACGATGAATCGATAATTCGACGAAATCGTACCAGCACATGTCAACACGGCCGGGTTTACCTACGGACATATAGTACATAATAATCACTTCTCAATTTTCGTATTCCGCCGACGAGTCGTTCTAGACGGAGGACCGGCGTGAGAAAAAGGTTGTATACAGCGGAACGATTTGAACCTCGATTGGGTAACTGGCTCGTGTGGTATGTATATCGTAAGGTAAGGCTTTCACAAGCCGATCGGGTCTAGACGGTGCGTAATACTGTACAGATATTTCCGTGCTATCTTTGGGGAAGCTTATTGTGGATATATTACATATTACACCATCAGACCAATCACAACTAAGACCGACCTAAGATTAACCAGTAAAAAGTCGTCATTCTCTATAAATACTCCACTTGGACCCTGCCAGTTACCGCGTGCTTTGCCTCTTCCCCTGCGGGACGAGGTAGCAGCAGTCGATGGCCGCCTGACCAGTCGAAAATACCACTGGAAGGGCCTCGCTTGAGCAATTGCAGAATTGCTGATAGGAGGTAGGCTTTCCCGTTTTTATAATATTTGGTAACGATAATCCGTACTTTGGTAACCACCCCCAAGTTGCCAAATGCGCAAACCTTTTCCCGCCAATTCCCCCATTCCCACCTTTTTTTGTCTCTTCGCAATCCAGGTTCACCGCGGTCCACTACGGTCCACCACGAGCACCTGCATATTGGATGGCCCGGGGACCCCATAACGCTTTTCTGGCAGTCCATGGTCCATGTCTCTCTCTCTTGAGTCTTGACCAGCTTGTCTCTGACATCGCTACCTATTACCTACTCTAGACTTGCCTACTCCGGATCCTTTTCATCATCTCTCACACCGAAATCTGATCAGGCCTGACCTTTATTCACTGTACTTACTATTATCTACCGAGACATTCATAACTACTTCTCTCACTTTCACTTTCACTTTTCACTATTACCTGTCTATTATACGAACTACGGCTTCTTTTTCTTCATCTGTCGTGTATTTATTTTATTATTTTCTTCTTATGAATGATTAATCAAGTAATTTGATTCGATAAGTCAACCAATCTCCCGACATCTACCCAACGCTCTCAACGAAACCGTTCGCCTTGTTTGTATAGTACTATATCACCTTTCGATATCAATGCGCACCCAATATACATGATACCAAGCCTCTCCAAATCAAATCTATCGCCAATGCGCAAATGATTGCCAAGTATTTCCTTTCCCCGCGACCTATCGCTAGTTAGAGTGTCTTCGATAGAAGCGCTTTCGGTCGTGTTCCAACAGAAACGATGGAACAGCAAAATCACATGTCTCTTCCTCCGCCGCCGCACCACGATCAAAATCATGGACTTCAACACTCAATACCTCAACACGCATCACCGCCGCTAGACTCTACGGCCGGATTATTCGGTCAATTCGATCGGACCTTTAAACTTCCACTATATCCTCCACCGTCTTACGCACAGTCCCACGACACTGTCGGCTTAAGGTTTCCCGATCCCCCAAAGACTGAACTCGCTCCCATCAAATCGATAAGTCCGCCGAACAGCGACGAGAAAGAACCCGGCGGCAATAATCATCTCCCATCTCTATCAGCCCTAACAGCTTCATCCGCCCCTTTGTACACTCCGCCCCAACCTTCAGAGCCGGCATACTCCCCTCCGGCGCCGCCACCTCTCACTCATTGGCCGAGTTTAAACCCCCTGACAGCATATTATAACCCGAGCCACGCACAGAATGCAGACTCGCCTATGCGGATGGATGTAGACGCAAGCAGCAGCAGTGGCGTAAGCGCCCCGTCGCCAGATCGCTTCCAAGAAGGAAGAGCCAGTAGCGTTAGTTTAGACGATCCAGATGTACGCATGGCAGCTGAAGCCCTAGGCGATCTAAGAGCAGGTAAGCTATTAGTAGTCATTTCTCATATGTGATAGTTCGTTATCGCATGCGCCACCTGCATGTTTGATTGCACAATATTAACCTTAGGCAACGTTCGCAGATTTCGTGTCTTCCCCGCCGAATAATCACGTCCCGGTACCTGGTTCGCCGCACTCTCAAACGAACGGTATCCATCCGGAGCCGCTCATCTCGCTACTAACTACATCGCATCCCTTACTTGCTACAACTATCGAGGGTGCCACTTCCGCCTACGTCAACTCTAAGAATTACTCACCGAGGTTCAAGTCGAGCGCCGAGTATGTCGAGGGCTACGTGATTCCTATCGCCAACACCGTAGGATCAGTCGGTCGCGTAACCGGCGTAGAAGGTGGCGTTCGATGGTTCCTAAGCGGTGGAAGGAGGCACAAGTCGCAAGGTTCCGATCTCGAAGCTACAGACTTCGGTTCTAACAAGCGCCGGAGAGTCGACGGGACCGGTACCTTCAAGGAACCTACCCCGGAGCCCTTGTCCGGCGCGCAAACACCGAGGGCATCCTTCGACAACTCGCGCGATCGTCGACTCTCGGTCGCAAGCACCGTAGACACCCTACCGGCGTACGATGACCTTCGATCTCCACCATATGCCGAGCAGTTTGCGCCGTCTGAATCACGCCCGAACAGCGCAGCATGGCAATCCCGTCTTATCATGTCCACATCCGGACTGAGCATCGCTATGAGCGAGGAAAGCTTGCGTAGCCTCAAGTACTGTCTAAGCTGGCTTCGCTGGGCTAACGTGCGCATCGGGAACGTCATCAATTCTCTGAAGTCTACTATGGAGAAGTTCGAAAGGGCCGAAAGGCAATCGGATGGTGACCATTCCATGAACGGTACATCTAATGGCGAGTTTGCAGACAGGAACCAGCTCGCGGCGAAGATTGCAGAACTCAGGATGGACTTGCTCAAGACCCTTCAAGATGTCATCAACACAGTTAGCAGGTACGCCGGCGGTGCGCTACCGGAGAATGCGCGAGAGCTTGTTCGACGACACCTAACGAGCCTGCCTCAAAGGTTCCGAGTTGCAAGCATGGTTGGTGATGGTCAGCAAGACAGTCGTCGCCCCGAGGTTGACGGAGAGGTGGGACGAGAAGCACAAGAGAAAGAGACGCGAGAGAGCGCTCAACGGGTACTAGTTCTCGCTAAGGAGGGACTCGACATGATGTCTCAAGTATCAGGGGTTCTTGATGGAACCATCGTCAGCGCCGAGGAGTGGTGCGATAGGTTAGGTAGGAGGAAGCGAGAGCAGCGGGAAAGTCTGCTCGGGACTCCTCACATACCGCAGACGCCTTTGGACGAGGTAAAGATCGGGTAAATGATATGAAAATATAGTATGAAAACGTACGGCGTTCCACGGGGAAGACAAAAAAAATGATGCACATAAAAAACTGGTGGATTCAAAATAGGCGAGGAGAAAACACCGAGGGACGAGACGAAGAGCCAAGGTCTAAATTCGGCTAACTGGCATAGGATTCAGACATTGGCATTGCCGGACGGGACGGCTCACCGCTTTCCGGGGTTAACAAACTTGGTCTAACTTGACCTACAACAATTTTCTTGCTGTCAGGAATCTTGCTGGAGATGCAGCTTATACCCACGTAGCAGATAATCAAGACGCTTCATCGAGCGTCGCGGTCCTGCTTTTGCTATCTCTCCCGCAGAGTTTGTTTCTTTTCGACGGGTTATACATACTACTAGGACGATTCTGACTTTGTTATTTTCACGAGATTTCCTATCACGGATTAACGGCATCTGATCTTCAGAGTATTCGGTCTCTGTCTGTACTTTCTTCCCTGGAGGGCAAATGGTTGGGGATAGTGTCCAAAATATTACCCGCACATACATAGCGTTATTGCATTGCCGTAGAGACTGAATAGATATCAGTTTACGTTGGCAGCCAGTATTTATCTAATCTCAATTATATATTTGACATGATGAATCTACATGAGTTGTTTCTTGAGTTCTATTCCAACCTGAGTCTAACCCATGTCCTTAAGGTGATCATAGGTGGTCCATGAGTCTTGTCAAGTATCCAGAGCGAGGAAGAGTAATTGTTAATATTCGAATCCAAGTACGACGTTCACGTCAGCCATACACGATGGTAATTGGCCTTGCTACTGGGCATAGTTGGCCTTAGTCAGGAGTTAGTTTATTGCATGCCACGAGTGTCCTATTATTACCAACTAGTACATATCCTTGTGTTGTCGAGAATCACCAAAGTATACAGTTAATGTCTATATGAACTACCCCTAGCTAACCCTGTCCAATCCAAGGCTCTTGAGTAGCTGATATACGATACGTGCTTAATATTCAAGGGAGTACCGTGCAACCCATATTATGAGCGAGTAGTATGATATGCGAGCAAGAAAGGGTGCAGTATGAGTAGAGCTAGTTTGATTTGCGAATTCTAAGTAATGTTGATAATATACATAGCCCCTATTTATCACTTGGAAGTTATGGCTGCAGAGTTACTCTTGTATCAACAGCTGCATTCAGGGCAACAGGTATGTCAGATGCAGTGCTGGAAAGTAAAAAAGAAAATGTAAAAAAGCTCGGAACCAGGTTCGAACCTAGGACCTACGAAAAACTACTTTGTAAATGTCGTACTGTCAAGTCACGGGCATACCGGTCCAGCATATGACACCACGGTGCAATTGTTCTCTAGCCTCATGTCACCCAGGGATACTTCCTTTTTGCGGGGTCGGCTGGTAGGTTTGCTTCTATTAGGATATATAAATCTTACTTCCTGAGTATGTACTTTGGCAGTTGTACCTTGTTGCCTAGGAGATCTGTTTCTAGTACCTTGGGAGAGCATAGCGACGTCGTCAACAATGACATTGTCGTAGGAGATAAGACGTACGCACATCTTCTCAATGATGGCTGCCAGCGCATAATAGGGCCTCATATCAATATCTTACAAAATTAAGCAATATAATTCAAAGTCTTAACTACGCAAGGTGTTAAAGAGATTAAATACTAAACAGACGGTAAGTGTTATCACAGGATCTTTGTTGTAGGTAAGCAAACTAATGGTTGACAAAGGCATTATCCAAGGACGAGGAGATAACAGGAAACAAGCCCCCCATACGATATCCCGGGGCTACTTTATAAGCCACAAGAAGACCCCGGGTTTGATCGTCCCGTCTTTCTTCACCAAGCAGTCACTTGACCTAAAAGCATTTTACTTGAAACCATACTAGTTAAGCCATCTCGTGTTGAACAATCGTGCTGTTCGCAGCTGTCTTCCGGAAATCACCTCTTGGTTTAAGCCAATTGAGATAATGGATACCTCTACGCCGCCATGTTCATGCACCACCCAAGTCACGAGACGCAAGAGTATGTTGCGCAAGTTCCTGGCGTTGCGAAAACCAACTATAAAGCGAACTCGATCCGGAAGGTGCTCGGAATGTAAGATAGCACCGCATCGTGAAGGCCAGGTGTTAGATCAGCTTCCGAAGGACGTTGAACAGCTCGCGGGGAGGACAAATACTCGGCAAGATGTGAGAGGATACGATGCCGATAACATAGCGTGTCGCCTCTCGATTATTTCGATGGTTGCCAGGTTTACCCATGGCTTGGAGCATGAAGAAGAGGTTGATCTTGCTGAGAGGGTCTATACACAGCTCAAGATGGAGGGCAGCCCGTTAGTCGATATGAGGTGGGTAGGCGGCTTGGATCAACTCCCAGATATGGTGTTTGAGCACCTCCATACGGTTATGAAGAACCAGCTCGGATCGTCTTATAGTTTTGACGATTCTAGCGAGTAAATCTTCATTTAGTCGAACTACGAAGATGGTAAGTACCCTGGGTAGGTACGTTTTGTATTTCTTGCCCGGTAAGGGTAATGATGTAGCATTAGAGTAAGTATTGATTTGAGCTTCAAGCATATTAAGTATACCATCAGCATATCGTTATGTGTGTTACCGGTCTTAACTTAATAAACTAATTTTTATTATTTAAATTGGTCCCGATATTAACACACAACCCTCAAATAGCTCTAAACTAAACCAAGATGATGGATGGATCGAGCTAACATACAAACATGTACTATAGCTGGAGAGTTTCAGTACTATCAGCTCTTATTGCAGTACACTTATAGTCCCGCGTAGTCGCCGTCAGCCAAATACCTATCATGTCGACGGTTGAGGCTCGACTTGTGCCTTCTTCGCGGGCCTCATCATAAAACTTTCAAGACGATTTCCATTGTCGAGAGGGACCGTATCTATTAGGTCAAACCCATGCTTCGCATCTAATGTACGAAGATTTCGTGTCAGCTTTGCAATACTACAATTCTATAATTTTCACAGTTATATTTCGATTGAGCCGAATGATAGGGTCGTCACACTTACTACTGAGCGTTAGCCACTGTATACCCTACGAAGGCAATTTTGAGACCGTTCTAGAAAGGGAGTTCCAAAATAGCAACACGGGATGTTTTCATACATACCAAAGAGGAGCTCCAGCTGGGCTGGCTGCAAGGAAAGCTTCGAGACCTGCGTCGTCGACTCTAGCTATGCCCCATCTCAGCAGCTGCTTACCCGCGCCTTTCCCCCGAGAATCCTTTCGAACACCCAGAATATCCAGGTACCAATGCGGACGGCTCTCCATGATCTGCTTGTGCATTTTCCCTATGGTCCCGAAGAATTCTTCGACACAGGCCAGGTCAGCATCTTCTGGCCAACTAACGGCTGCCGGTGGCGGAGGGGGGGATGCCGTCGTGAAGAACTCCCGCCATATTCCAAATGCGATGATCCTTTCCGGTGTCGAAGAACTTGGGTCAGTCAAAACCAAGAAATGCTCGGTTGGTTTTTGCAGGCCAGAAGCTAGCGGGTCCAACCAAAACTTTCGCACATGTTCTGGATTTGAGTTGAAGACTCGTCGAGTGACAGGGTGGTCACCGAATGCATCGAAATAGACGTCTATGAGGGATGGGATGTCCGAATGAGCTGCCTCCCGTATTTTGTACGACATTTTGGTATTGGAAAGTGAGCTATGATACTCCGGTATTAACACTGAGTCGCCGCAATGATAGAGGTGACAAGGAAAAGGGGTTTGGTGAGCGTGAGAGAAGACTGCGATAATTAGCAATGTTCGCTTAGATAGGCTTGACTTATTGTTACCAAATTCTTCAACCGTTGATGTGTTGTGTTTATACTTCAAAGCTATCGCATAAGATTGAATCTTAACAGCTATTGGGAAACTGAGGACTTATAGACTTATAAGTATACTGCGATTGAACCCGATGAACGTAGGATCTTGAATATGACTCACCGGCGGGACGCTTCTGAATATAGCAATGCATATGCTATCGGCAAAGACCGAGTCCGATTCAACAAGGTACGCTTGCACAATATGGATCCTGAGACATACGCCTTACTAGCCTATATTATCGTTTATAGCAACTAACCGCAACCATTACGTATTCGGTACGATACCAAGGCGCAGCTATACGACTCGTACGATGTGAGACTTATTGATAATGGATGTTTGACTCCTAACGCCAGGTTTAAACAAGACTTACTACGAGAGGAGAAACAGCAGGGAGTGGTTTACCAATTCTTAGTTCTACGTTTATCTGATAGCCTTTTGACTTCATGAATAATCTAGCTATCAATTCTACTCAGAGAATGCGATACCGTGATTTCGTATGAGGAACGGATGCCGCGGACCCCGCAGCAAAATGAGGGGGTTCTTTGGACCGTCCAGAATACTTTACTATGAATCATATAGGTTAGGAGCAAACACGAATCTTCCTATCTAAAGAGCTACACTCTAGAGATTATGGAGCTTCGGGATTCAAATTCATGGTACGTAATCATCATAGCCGCTATAGCGAGGTCTGGCCCGTCTGGGCGACCAAGTCTGATAGAAAAGGGCATTTCTCATCTTCGAAAGTAATGCCGGACTCTTAAGGCTTACTACTCTATAGCGTTATTCAAGACAGCAAATAGACTGACGATCTCCTAGTTTCGTGAGGGGCTTTGGTTGCACTTTGATCTAGCGTCAGTCTAAAACTTCCCCAGATCTTTGCCAAGGTGAGAACATCCGGGCAAGTGGTTAGCTAACCTATTCAGACCACGGCAATGCATGTATTACATAGTGCATAAGGTTCTCTACCTAAACATGTGCTTGAAGCCACATACCGGTGTTCTGGTAGAGGAGAAATAACTACGTTGCTTCTGATTGGAAGATACAGCTTAGACGCATCGCCGCTTAAATAGGGTGGTGACGGACTAGGGAATATGGCCGGATCTTGCAGGTTCCCTTCTGGGCCATGCTGATAATACCCTAAATCCGGGGTATTGACAACTGACTGCTAAGATGCTGCATCTTTAAATGGATAACAGAGCCCAGATAAAACCCTGAGAGGGTGTTCTTTCGTCTCAAACTTCACTATCCCCTAAGTCTCATGATGACTTGGTTCTTACCCTTCTTATCAGTGAACTTCTCGGCACTGATCGGTGATGTTGTGTCATCATCATCACCATCGCTTGTTGAGAGGACATGGAATAACACCCAGTATGGTTGTAAGTGCTATATAGGTGATGATTGCTGGCCGAGCAATGGCTCTTGGGCCAAACTGAATTCAACTGTGGACGGAAATCTCCTGGTGAACATCCCTCCGGGTGCATCTTGTCATAACGTAAGCAATCCTAAAAGTAAGCTCGGGGATATTTAAATAGCCAGTGAGAGGAAGCATGCTGACTTAAGTCGCCTAAGACATTTGATGGCCCTCTTGGTACGGTTCCGACCTATGATGCTGCCGCTTGCGCAGAGGCGACGGATAAGTGGCCTGATGAATCATGGGCGTGAGTTTTCTAGTCGAGTCTAAGACGATATACTGACGTGGAGGCATAGCGTCGAGAAACCAGCAGCAGAATTATGGACGTATTTCACGAATGATACTTGTCGTCCTACTGGTAACCCTGCCGCGCCTTGCACCCTTGGCTACTATGGAGTGTATGTGATAACGGCTCAGTCTAAAGACCATATCAAGGCAGGCGTGGATTTCGCTAGGGAAAATAACTTGCGCCTGATCATTCGAAACACGGGTCACGACTTTATCGGACGTAGCACTGGCTGGGGCGCGTTGATTATTAATACGCATAGCTTCCAAGATATCGAGTTCACTACCGAGTACAGCGGACCCGGTGATTACAAGGGAGGTGCCGTAACAATAGGGGCGGGAGTCCAGGGTCGAGCGCTGCTCACTCGAGCTCACGCTCAGAATCCACCCGTGACGGCCTTAACAGGAGAATGTCCAGTAAGTAGATGATGTGTAAGACAAGAAATAGAAGCTAACGAGCTGATAGACTGTTGGCGTTGCTGGTGGACTTGTCCAAGGTGGCGGTCATGGACCGCTTACGCCACTGTATGGACTGGTCGCTGACACTGCATTGTCTTTTGATGTGTTGACAGCGGACGGCGAATACCTGACTGCGAATTCGGAAGAGAATCCCGATCTCTTCTGGGCCTTGAAAGGAGGCGGACCGTCTGCCTTCGCTGTTGTACTTTCGGTGACCCTTAAGACGTTCCCGGAACAGAAGGCAGCCGGTGTCTTCATCAATATCAATTCAACGCTTACCAACGATGCAGATGTATTCTGGGAAGGCGTCAGGTCATTCCATAAGTACTCAAACGAAATCGTGGTGGCTGGTCTTTACGCTTACTTCGAACTTATGCCATTGCGCTTGCATGTACAACCTATAGTCGGAGTTGGGAAGACTTCAGCGGAAGTGGAGGCCATTCTCCAGCCTGTGTTTGACGAATTCAAAGCTAAAGGCATCCCCTACGACACAGGCAGCAAGGATTTTGATACATTATTCGATCTGTATAGTGACTTATTCGAAGACGAGACCGCCGGTACTGCGGCTCTTACGGGCGGATGGATGTTCACTCACCAGGACGTCGAAGAAAACAATGACGAAATTATCGAGGCGTTTAAGACGGTCACGTCGCCACGGGATGACTTGAAGGATCAGGGATTTATCATTGGCCACCTCTGGGATGCTGGTCTGAATACGCCGGTTTCAAACAGCGCAACGAACCCGCGGTTTAGAAAGTCTACAGATTTTACCATCGTCGGGTTAACAGTCCCGGATGGTGCAACTTGGGCCCAGAAAGAGGATCTCCAGAACGTGCTAACTAACATCCAAGATGCTGCAATGAGGAAAGCTGGTCCGAACGGATGTGCCTATGTTAACGAGGTACGTATGCATCCGATGGGTGTGAAATATAAGACTATGATGATACTGATAACTTTCATAGGGAGACCCGTATCAACGTGATTGGCAAGATCATTTCTGGGGCTCGGAATATGCGAAATTGCTGGAAACTCGCAAGAAGTGGGATCCTCACGGTGTCTTCTACGCTGTGTCAACTCCGGGAACTGAGGACTGGGAGGTTATTGAATACGGTACAAGATTATGTCGAAAGTATTGAATGACTACCTGTGCTTATCAACTCTGGGTTTGTGCGTTGAACGGCGAGTTGAGTGTAAGTAGACGATAGAATGGTAGAATAAGAGGAATAAAGACTACTAGAAGTTGCAGCGCGTATTGCTTCACTCATGTTGATAACTTGTTGCTCAGCCTCCATGATTGAGCTTTTTCGATGCGTCTGTCCTATGGATTGAACCAGACTAGTGCATTTTATTTCGAAGGGGGATTATAATGAGAATCGTATTCTGGTTGTATAAGATAAGGGATACTAATTCATTTCTACTCGAAGCACAGCCAGATGATTTAAAGTTTGACGCGATATTTAAAATATCTGTTGAGACATTGCATAAACGATACTATCTGTGCAACCATCGGTGCACGTGACGTCAGTGTATGCAAATCTTGATTTATTTATGCAGCTACCCGATCGGGGAGATCCTCACCCAAAGCTTCCACTAAGCAGAACCCCACCATCGACATCCATCAACGTTAGAACATCGCACGAGGGTAATAAATTATATGAGCTGCAACACAAGGATATAAAGTGACAGTGGTTACCTACCGTAATTCAAACAAGTCTTCTTACGGACTGTCATTTCCTCTATTCCTAAAGTAGAGAAATGCGTGAGCCGACTTGAACTAAACTTCAACGTCGCGTCCAGACCACTGCGACCCTTCGAGATATCTTGCTTGATATTACGAGATAAGAGCTAGCCTATAACTTTTATCGAGCACAATATGACAGACCTCGAGGCGTCTGTCCCTAGCTTGGGAATGTCTACTGACATCCGAGGCGAGTTGAAGAAACCTAAGAAGAAAAAGGTGCTCCTTATGGGAAAGAGTGGTTCGGGCAAGTCGAGCATGAGGAGTATTATATTTAGCAACTATATCGCCAGGGATACTCGACGCCTGTAAGTTACAACTCTGCTTCCCTTGTCATTTAACTATGGAAAATTAATTTGCGTGTCATATCAGCGGTGCGACGATCGATGTCGACCTCTCACACGTCAAATTCTTAGGGAACTTAACCTTGAACCTTTGGGACTGCGGTGGCCAAGAAGCTTTTATGGAAAATTATCTATCGCAGCAGCGTGTACACGTCTTTTCTAATGTTGGGGTGCTTATATACGTCTTCGATATAGAATCTCGAGACGTAGACCGAGACATGGCCACATACGTATCCATCATCTCCGCCCTAACCCAGTATTCGCCTACCGCAAAAGTCTACGTGCTAATTCACAAGATGGATTTGATCACCCCACATGCCCGAGAGGCTGTCTTCGTCGACCGCGTTCGGCTAGTCAGACAGAAGACTGCCGAGTTCATCCAAGGGGCAGGCTACATGGGCGAGTTAGATCTTATCCCCTTCGCGACCTCTATATGGGACCAGTCGCTATACAAGGCGTGGGCAAGCATCATCCACGACCTTGTGCCAAACCTATCCGTCATCGAGTCGCAGTTAGGCTCTCTCGGAGTATTGATAGAAGCCGAGGAGCTGCTATTGTTCGAGAGAACGAGTTTCCTTGTCGTGTCAAACTGGACGTCGGAAGAAGGCCAGAACAACCCTACGGGAGATCGACAAGAGCGTATCTCAAACATCCTCAAGCATTTCAAGCAAAGCATCAGTCGCTTTACCGGTACTCCCCGCAATGCGGAGCAGTTTACTCTGATGGTAAGTAGTTGCATACCCAGCTGTACACTTCTGCTCGAGTAGCTTGGTGTCGGCTTGAAGTAATAGAATACTAGCGAATCGCTAACGAAATAACTGTAGGAACACAAAGCGGGATCTAGATTCTCTATGTTTGCTTGCAAATTCACCACCAATACCTACCTCATGGTTATTCTCCCACCCGGAGAGGCGAGGTTCAATTCTGCCAAGTTGAATTGTCAGATTGCCAGAGAGAGCTTCAAGTTCCTAGATGGACCTGTGACTCCAGGCCAGACCTTTAATTAGTAGCCCGAGCCAGACGAGCGAAGCCATGCGTACCTTCTGAGTTATTCGACTTCGAGTACCCTTTGTATTTGCTCCTCACGTCTCCGCTATGCATTTCGACATATCACTATAATCAACGAAAACTGATTAGCTTCCACTATAGCACTGCAAACTTCAAGTCGATTACTCCTGTCTGATCGCATACAATGAGCCAGTGAGTTCTCTGGACACAAGCGACCTCAGCGACAGGGAATCTTAGTCTACAATATCCCACTGATATAAAATTGCCGATAAGTCTAATGTCAAGACCCGCTACATTCTTCGGCCGCGGGACATAAATTTTACCAAATCCAGGACATGATGCCTCAATATGGCACCACCCTTAGTGTAAGCTATTATGAGCGATGTTTTTCTTGGCGAGAGCTGTGATAGTCGCATCTCATATAGTCAAGACACGTTTATCAGTTGCGATGATTTTATTGGCCTCGAGGCCGACTCCGGGAGAGGTAGTAGTTTAGGCGCGGCGGTCTGGTCCCTGACGATCGGCAGACGTCCTGAATTAGGAAGGTTAGTCGTCGCAGCAAGCCAACCAATTAAAGCGTCAATTACGTGGTATGCCATGCACGATTTTGATGAAAGGGTAGCTAATACCCGCGGACGTAGATCGATTTTGAATTATGTACATGGGAATTTAAAGACGTGATAGTCTTGTTCATCAAAGCTTACCCTACCGAGGGGTTTATTACTGAGTCTGTCTTAAGTTCGTAAAGTCCATTTTATCTTAAAGTGAAGATAAACTCACATGCTTCTCCCTTTCCCATGTAAGACCCTAGCTGCTGAAGATCGTCGCCCCGTCCAGATCTCAGCACAACTTTAGTACCACCCTCGACTCGTTCAATACGGCAGGTCAGACTCAGCTTCGCACTATGTAACGCAATGATTGGCATGTCTTTGATATGCTTTCTGGGCAGCACGCCCCGCTGCTGCTCGCCGCTCTCCGTGCTATCATTCTCCTATGAAAGTCTGGTTCCTTGAGACCTGCGTGGATATCTACGCTAATTGGTTTGAATGTAGTCGCTTCGGGAAGTTGGCGATTGCGGTTGGCCATGTATAACACGGGATATTAATACAAGCAGGAGAGATCGGCAGGATGTCTATATAAACTGGTCACAGACTTTAAGAACCATCGTCCATGTAAGACCTCGGATAGCTAGTTAGGTGATACCAGGTAACCTACTATATTTGTGTCTATCCGCCTGACTCGGAACGTAACGAAACTGTCCAACCTCAATATCTTCATAATGAGGTTCTCATTCACCCTCGGCGGTCTCCTATCCGCGAGCGCCGTGCTCGCCGCGCCGGCACCAATTCCGGTTGCCGAGCCCGTTCCCATGCCCATGCCCACTCCCGTTCGTAATCGCCTTACCATATTTATAAACGCAGTAACAGCTCTTTCAAAACTGACCGACGTAATTAGCCTGGCATCCCGTCCGCCTCGTCAGCTAAATCGCAGCTCGCAAGCTTGACCGTCAAGGCCGCGGTCGACGACGGAGCATACGAGCGGGACTTGTTCCCGACGTGGGACACCATCACGGGAACATGCAACACGCGCGAGTACGTTCTCAAGCGGGACGGTGCCAGCGTTCAGGTCGGCTCCGATTGCTACCCGACGAGCGGGACGTGGACCAGCCCCTACGATGGTGGGAAGTGGACGTCCCCATCCGATGTGGATATCGATCACATGGTGCCTTTGAAGAATGCCTGGATTGTACGTATTTTATATTTTTACCTGGTGTGCCGTGGTGCTTGGTTCACCGTTTAACTAACTCTATGTAGTCCGGCGCGAACAAATGGACAACTGCCAAGCGCGAGCAATTCGCCAACGATGTTGACCGACCGCAGCTCTGGGCCGTAACGGATAATGTTAACTCGTCTAAGGGTGACAAATCCCCCGACACTTGGAAGCCGCCTCTAAAGAGCTTCTACTGCACTTATGCGAGCGCTTATGTCGCCGTCAAGAGCTATTGGGACCTATCTATCACTTCGGCTGAGAAATCGGCCCTGAGTGACATGTTGGGAACTTGTTAGGTAGTCTACGATACGTGGGATGTTGAGTTGAAGGTGTTTGATGGCGCCTAGGAAGACTGGTGGCTTGTCTTCATTCCAGAGCCTACAATTTACATCAACGAAGAGAAGGCAATAAAATAAAGATAATTGATTTTCATAAACTGTGACTTGTGCCTCGCGATAAAATCATCCCTTGAGTCATCGCAATAAGAGACAATATTCTCTTAATATCCATGCGTAGCTACATCGTATCCCATTAAAAAGTAGCAGGACAACTCGTTTGGCAACCATCGCTCTATCGTTTAACGAACACCCAGCTCATCTAATCCTAACGTTGCTTTTGTGCTCATTTGTTCTTCTTCACCATGGCAGTGCCGCCCTTCTTGAACTCGGCCATATCGCCTAGTACTAATGACTTGTCCGTGTGGTCTTTGTTGGGGAACGTCGTGGCTAACACCCATCCACCAGCTCGCAACTCTGGAGAGGATCGGGAGATGAAGTCATATACGTCGTTGACCGTATGCGACGTGTTAAATCGAGCCGGCAGTCGTGTACCGTCAGGCATCTGGATTCGGATCATGATCGTGGGCTGAGAGTCGTCTACAGCCGTACTCGGCGCCGTGGACCGTGCTGCTGCTGTCGTGCTCGAAGTTGACAAGGTGGGTAGAGTTACAGCGGCAGCCGTGGCGGCGGCGGCAGATTCTCCCGGAACTGGGCTTCCTAGGCGGCGACCCTCGCCGCCGAACGGCTTGTACACTTTAGGGAGTTGTCGGTAGTTCTCGTCGTGCTGCTGAAGCTTGACATCGAGAGGCTCGTCAAGCCTAACGTTCATCAAGTGGATGGGAGCACGGCCTTGCTGTATCATGCGCAAAGCTTCGGTGTTCTCGGGATCGTCAAAGCGGCGTAGCTCTCCGTCGTCGACGCTGAAACCGTCACGCCATAGATGTAATGTTCGCTCTTGAACCTTGCCCGCAGGACGCGGACGACTAGCGGAACCGGCAGCCCCGAGAGGGTCTGGAATTGTGCGGCTAGGAGCGCCTTCGCCACCGAGAGTTTGTCCGGCGCCGCGGAAAAAGGTCGCGCTGGAAGGGCCAGCATGGGAAGAAGCCTCGGGGCGCCGCGAATTGCTACAAAGTCTAGGGTTAGCCTATCGCTAAACAAATCAAGAAACGAACAAAATTACCCCGCAGCAGCGTCCGCGAGAAGATCGTTCACGAGTTGTCTACCGTCCGTGCGTTGACTCGGGTCTTGAATAGCAAGCCCGCTCTTCTCGCCTCCAGCGTACGTGTCTCTATGCGAGTCCTCGTCTTCATCGTCGTCGTCGTCGTCACCATGATCGTGTCCGTGGCCGCCACCGAGCGAGCTTAATGTGGCAAGTCCTTTCTTCTTGGGTGCTCGCTTGGAGGAGCTGGACGTGGTAGGAATGGACTCCGGGGCGGGACGTCCATCGAGAGTGCGCGGGCCAGTATAATTGCTATAGTCCGCAGAGGCAGAAGTATTAAGAGGAGCACCTGCATCATCTTCTTCCTCGTCGGCAAAGTAGGCTTGGGCTGCGGCAGCGAGATCCCAATTATTGGCAGAAAGGTATTGGGTGGCCTAGAGGGAAAGGTGATGTGTTAGCTGAATCGAGACGATGAAGGATGAAGCTAGCTATTAGCTGCTTAGAACCGGGTCATATACCTGTTCGGTGGAAATTCCGGCCATGGCCATGAGCTCGCTCGTAAGAGCATCGTGGTCTACGCTGCTCGACATTGTGCTCAGAGAGGGTGAGGGGAACGGAAGTGGAAGAATGAAAAATTCAGGATGGTCAAATCGACTACAGAAAATTGGTTGTAGATGATAAGAGCCTCAGCTTCTGCAGCCTTGAGGAATAATCAAGTAAAGAATAAGGAATCAAATCTTTAACGTGACGTTTGCTGCTAGAAGGTACGTCCCCTAACTGTTAAATTCTTAGGCAGCTTCAGCAACGACGTCAAGCTCTCCACAGTAGCCTAATCGAGTTGAGTGGGAGTAGCGGGGTGTGCGCCTCTAATGTCTGATTAGCTAAAGCCCCTCCATCAATAAAATGACGAACAGCTGCCCTGGCAGCCTGGTTCGTACCTACCAGCTATGTTAGTTTTCCAATCAGACCAACACAGGTGGATCCCTACTGTGACGTAACTAGCCTATCTAGGCAGAATCTGTGCTAGTTCTTTACTCTGATAGGTTTAAATCTGTAACTAAATCTGTAACAACATTTCTAGCTGCCGATATTAACATAACATTAAATGTTAATGCCGGGTCTCAATGTTGAGTCCTCTCCAACCATTTCAACTTCGAAGTTCCTAGGCAGCCAAGGCATCTCCTCTTGTTAACAAATACGGCAACCAGCGACATGAGACGTTGGAGTTAAGGTGGATTATTATACCGGCATCATCTTCTCTCTAACATTTCAGCCATGTCCTCCGAAGAACCGGACCCCCTCTCGGGGTCAGGCGTCACGATGCACTCCGACAGCGAGCAATACTCAGCCGGCGAAGACCTACTGCCCTCGCCACCTTCGTCTTCCTCTCCACCCATGGTCCTCTATAAGCCCCCCACCGTCTGGTCTATGCTCCGAGGCGTAGCTATTAACCTACTATTACCATTCATCAACGGCATGATGCTAGGATTTGGCGAGCTGTTTGCGCATGAGGCCGCTTTTAGGTTAGGATGGGGAGGCACAAGAGTAAGTAACGCCATAGGATTACGAGCTATATGTAACTATTTGGACAAAGATTAACTGTGTTACATAGGTATTCCCTCTCTCCCGGCGGAGAGCACATCCTATCGGTCCAGGTATCGAAATCCGCAACCGACCTAAACCGCGACCCGATCTACAAGACCTAACTAGCCTCGAATGACGGACGAGACGGTCTGCTATTTATACACGTGTAGAGCTAAAACGATGGAATATGCCGCTTGGGCTTATGTATTGTCTCATGCAAGATTAGAAGGGGTGAGTGAATGGCAAAGAAGAAAACGAAAGGTATCATAAGATATTACTCATGTATAAACCCCCTTTTTGTAAGAAGATACAATTGCACAAAGCTCTAAATAGGATAATAATCTAGAATCCAGTGTCCCGAGACTATGCTAGTGCTAATGCCTATTTGAATATTCAACAACAGAATTGGTATCTGATGAACATTAAACAATTAAGGAAATGAATACCTTTGCTATGTGATGTGTTTATAAAGATTGCGCCTTTCATAAACACTACATAGCTAGGTACCTACCTACGTAGGTATGTAGAGGTATCAACACTAAGAAACCACAGCATATAATTATGTTGGCCGATGATACCGATAATAGAAGCTGAGATACCTGGGGTACGTAATCAAATCGGAGTTGGAGTTGGCGGAAAAAGTCGATATGGCGGGATGGACTATCCGGGTAGTACGTACCTAAAGCTCCGGGAATCCCACTACATCCGTATCGATAAGAAAAGTAACCCCCAGCGAGCCCCAGTATCGAAGTTCCATTAGTTAGAGGTTAAAAAAATTCCAATGGAATTTATATCGTAAGTGGTCGGCCTCAGCTTCTACAGCGCTCACAATTATCGTCATGCTGCCGAGCAGAGGACTTCCAAGATCAATTCCAGCCTCAGCGCTGCGGAATACCTGGTCTACTCGGACACAGGTATGGCAACATTTAATAAGTCAATATCTCATATCTTATGAATTACTAACATATCATTCTTCGTCGCCTTATAGCCGATTCGACCTTTACAAGTTTCCATACGATACTTCTCCCAGGTACAGTCTCGGTCTACGCCGTTGAGTAGAGTTCGGAATATTTCGTGTGCGCCGACGTCACTATTCGACTCCCGGACAATTGTCGCAGCTACCGCATCCGGCGTATTCGCTCAGCGCTCCGGAGCTTCGCGAAATCTTTCGTTATGGCCCTTCTCTTCTAAGAAGCAGTCGCCAATCGAAACGCAGCCCGCTTCTACCCCAGAGCCTCTATTATCAGAGCCCCCGGCGCCTGTCGATAATTACGAACGCCTCCCCGAGGAATCTTTCGCAAGTACAACTTCGACTTCCTCTCCGATAGATCACACACAGAGCGCCTTTAGCGACTCAGACCTGACTTCCGTCCTCGATATCCCCGAGCAGATAGGATACCTCAAGAATCTCGGATTGGATTTTGGATGGGGTCCGACTTCCTGTTGCGAATGGGTCGTCGAACATCTGTACATGTACACGGGTATGCCCTGGTGGGCTACGATCGCCGCGGTGGCTACCTTATGGCGTCTTGCCATGTTCTGGCCTACTTTGAGAGCTAGCAAGCACAGCGCGCTGATGCAACAACTCGAAAGGAATCCGACCTACGCCAAAGCCAAGGAAGAATTTAACGAGGCCGCGTGGAAAACTCGCGACCGCGTCGCTCAGATGCGAGCTTCGGAAAAGATGATGAGGTTAAAAAAAGAGACAGGCGCTAGCTTACTTCCCATGTTCGCTACGTTTTTGACCGTCCCATTTAGTTTTGGCATGTTTCGACTACTCCGAGGCATGGCCGCCCTGCCCGTACCCAGCCTTGAGACTGGAGGCCTGGCCTGGTTCACCGATCTGACAGTTTACGATCCCTACTACATTCTGCCCATAACTTCTATAGCCATCACGGTTTTTATGTTCAAGGTAGGCCTATTGCAAACCCCCCTTCGCTAGGACTCCCAGCTAATAGATCGTTAGCAAACAAGGGCCGCCAACATGTCCAAGGATCCGACAACCGACAATATCACCAAGCTAATGATGTACGGTCTGCCTCCCGTCGTATTCCTCAGCACGGCTTGGCTCCCGGCAGGTGTCCAGTGGTTCTTCCTAATGCTCACCACCGGGTCCATCGTACAGACGTCGGCGACTCTCAACCCAACCATCCGCCGCTTAGCAGGCCTCCCTCCTCTTCCAAACCGGGGTGGAGCACTAATCTCGACCGCCGCTACGGCTACCCCGACGTGGCAAGCACCAACACCCCCTAGCCAGAGACCCGAAAGCGACAATATAGGTGGGGCTACTAAGGGAATCACCGAATCGGCCAAAGGCCTGTTAGGCGTCGACAAGCAGAAGGAAGAATGGAAGAAGGCTCAGGCGTACGAAGAGCGCAGGGCCGCGGAAGAAAAGGAAAAGGCGTTCCGAAGGATGGAGGATCTACGCCGGAAACAAGCCGAAAAGGGAGGGTTATGAGAGCACGGTCACCAACTGACGAACGCGATGCGGCGGCAGGGATTGTATCATAGCATAGACGAAGCGTCGATGTTAAACCAGAAAGCGGCATCCGCTATCTGGAAAGACATTGGGCTACGTACACGTGTAGGGTGAGGAATACCCGCAACTGTAATTGCATTGTATATATAGGTACATCCATGTTCAATACCAAACTCCAAATAGTTCAAGTCGAGACTTCAAGGAGAGTCGAATCGCGTGCTTACCAGCTATATGTCAGTATCCTATTAGCAAACACGACGGACGTTTCTTATAAAACTTCACGTGAGTCCCAATAATGATTATTTCTAGATCTCAGGAGTGGCCTTATATTCTGTACAGGTGATTAATTAGGTTTCTCCAGCAATACTATCCTATCCTAATCGAAAAAAGTTGACCAACTTTTTGTGATCGTGCCGCGACAAAAAAAAAACCCAAAAAAACGCGTGGAGAATTACCAATAATCGCACCAACAAAGTTGTGTTGCTGTCGCCGTACCGTTCGTATCCGTAGAACGAATATAATATGTTTCTTCCCTTAGCCGCCTACTTGCGTTACTCAGGACGGCCCGAATAGCCTAGGATAAGTAGGCAGTATGTTTTCCACTGACTCTCGGAATGGGCGCTCTCTTGCTTCGAATGCTAACAAAGGGGGTATGATCCTCAATCTACCAAAACTAGCGACTTTCGCTTTGTGTCGCGATGAACTCTAAGACAAGACGATCGAAAAGAATAGAAGAGCAAACAAGACACGTCATTAAAATATATGGTTAAAATACAGTTCCATCCGAATCGATGAGGATGGGCGGCTCTTTCGTGTTGGGTCGGCTGACCTCTGCGATCTCACGACCACCCTACGTATTGCATTAGCTCTTGTTCAATACTTATACGATATAGGCATCATGAAAGCCAGATGGACCATAGCTTACCTTCCAGCTTCCCGCCTCGAGCAGCTGTGCTAGCGTCAACTCGCCACCGTTAAGATCCTTCCTGAGGGTCTTGTTGACTTCGACTAAGAGCATATCGAGGAAGCCCACCGTAACGCCTCGCCACTCGACAATCACATCGTCGCTCGGCTCGAACATAGGCGCTACCTCGATGCCCTTAGAGCCTGTCCGCCGGCAGTAGTCGCTATAGTTCTGCAGGCCACGTTCGAGGTCGTCGTTCTTAAGAGTCAATACGCCGAGGTCGATGAACAAGCCTCCGTTTCTGTACTCGGGCAGCCCCGTTAGGAGCTCCGTGCCGGCGAACTGGATCCTAAGGAGGTTCTGCATGGGCTGCATTAGAGAGTACGTGAGCCACTGCGTCAACTTGTGGAAAGGCAGTATGGATTCCCAGGGGGCGGCGCCCGAGCTTGACTGAGAATTAGGGAACGGAGAAAACCCCGGGGAGGTGGGCGGAGGTGTGTGCTGCGGCATCGCGGAGCACGGCCAAGCGTCACCAAGAGAGACGCCGTCGATAGCCGTCCGCGAAGGAGGCCAGATAGGAGCGAGCCCGGACATGAGCACGTTCCAAAGTACCGGAAGGACTACGATGGGGGACGAAGAAGCCTGTGTTGTCGGGTGCGCCAGGAGGTAGTCTGCGCATTCATAACCAGTCAGCTAATACCAGCGAGAGAAAAAAAAAAAGCCAAAAGACAAAACGCGAAGGATACATACCGACCATATTACCTGGCCGTCCGTCAGCACCGAAGAAATCCGTCTTCTCTGATAGCGCATCGCTAAGTCGTATCAGGAGCTGCGCTCTACCCTCTAAACCAGCAATCTCGTTGCCCGGACGTGATTGCATGCCCTTGGCTAACTGCTCGACGGTCAACGTTTGAAGACCTTCTTTATCCACCTGGAACTTGTTGTTCGGATTTCCAGAGAATAGCCCCTATTCGAGATACGATGTTAGCGAAATCACCATTTAAACTAACATCCACCGGCGCAGATTCATGGCGCACGAGCGCATACGTACAGCCTTAAACATCTCCAAGCTCGCAATGGCTAGGCCCTCAGATCTCCTGTAGATGCGGCCGTTCTCAGCGCTCTTAAAGCTCCATACGGTACCGGCGCCGGCGTCGAGCAGCACGCTGACGAGGAACAAATCGATTAGGCGGCGACACTTCTCGGTACTATCGACATCGTCGGGAAAAGTCGCTAGCAGGTTGGCGACCCGATCCCGCCCGCCGGCGCAGAAGTGCTGGTACCGACCATGGGGCGGGATCGACGAAAACGGGGCGTCGTAATCTCGCTGTTCTTCCTAGTCAGCGGATTCGTCACATAAGTAATAGTAGCTGCACGTCAGCGAACTAGACGTAGAGTCAGTCTGACCTTGATGATGCCGCACACAAAGGTAGCGACGTCGGGAAACTTGGCCATATCCACGTCGAAATGGTTAAGATTGTTGCGCAAGGCCTTGTCGGTCACGATCTTGGACCGCTCGCGGACGGAGCCCAGACTTCTCAGGTAACCGGCGGCATCGAGGACTGGATCCGGAGGCTTAGGTAGGTTGATTCTGGGCATGAGATGCGGCGTCATGGGAGTCATCGGGGTCATAGGAGTCGGAGGTACGCTGCCGGCCGATGCGCGATGATTGCTGTAAGATTGCGACTGTACTCTGGAATTGCTGGCTGATGAACCTTTGATGTTGGAGTTTTGCGAGTTCAAGCTGGCCGTGTCGTTTGCCCCGTTGGAAGCGGATGCATTAACTGGCTTGGGCGTCTTAGGTTTTCTCGAGAAGAGACCCATACTGGTTACAGGTCGTGTAATGTATGTACACGTTACGTATGTATGAGGTATGTATGTATGCCCAATTGCTTTTTTTGTTTTGTTTCGTTTCTTATCTCTCTGCTGTATCCCTCCACTCGTCTTGGTCTTTTCACGCGTGACGAACGCCCTTTTTTTCCTTCTTGTACGTTCTTAATTTTTTTTATTAATTTTTTTTCCTTCTGTCTTGGGTTTTGGAAGTATGTGGTTGGCTAGTTAGCAAGTTTGGGTGTAAGGATAGCCGGGCAAGTCAACCAGATTAAGCAATCAGATCGACCGGATCAGCAGCACGAACGGGGGGGAGGACTGGGAAAGACAGGAGGGGTAGGTACCCGTAACTATGAAAGCTAAGGTACTGGCTAAGGTGGGCTAAAGGTTCAATGTTGGCTAAGG